CACACCTCTCTTTAACCCGCACACCTCTCTTTAAGCGGCACACCCGTACTTAGCTAGTACATGTCTAGCTAACCTATACTTCTTTAACCAGTACACCTCTATTTGACCAGCACAGCCCTACTTAACCAGAAGACATGCATTTAACCAGTATGCCTCTATTTAACCAGCACACCTCAAGTAACTAACACATTGCTAGTTAACCAACATACCCATATTTAACCAGCACACCTCTAATTGCTCAGGGTACTTTTATTTAGCTGGCATACATCTATTTAGCTACTATGCATGTACCGAACCAATACAGGAAAAGGGTGGGATGTACCTGAACCTGTTCCCAGAATGTAGTACACAACATTGGTTAAAGTTCTGAGTAACTATTGAAAGGATCGTTTGTCTTAAAGATTAAGTCTAGGTAGAAGCAGAAGGTTTGAGAGTTAAATGCTACCCTCAGCTACATAGCAAGTTTGAAGCTAGCTCAGGCTATAGGAGAATGTCTCAAATTCAACAGAATCAATCCATAGATATTAATTTTGCAAATGAGGCCATATTTCACTATGTGTGAGTGCATTATTCACAAAAAATAATTATTTTTAATATTAAATGGCGGGAAAATATAAGAAACTAGTAATCTTAAAGGATCAGTCTATGCCGGGCAGTGGTGGTGGCCGCCTTTAGTCCCAGGGATGCAGAGGCAAGTGGATCTCTGAGTTTCAGGCCAGCCTCGACTACAGAGCAAGTTCCAGGATGGCCAGGGCTACACAGAGAAACCCTGTCTTGAAAAGCAAAATAAAAACGAAAAGCCCAACACCCATCTATTGGTTTCTTGAAAGTACGTGGGAAATCAGCAAAGGTAATGTTCAAAACTCATGAATTCAACTGTCTTTTAGTTTGTTGTGTTTATGTCTATCTATACACACATACGTGTATATCACATACGTATTTCTTATTTTATGGTGTCATTTATTAGACACCATTGTGCATCCCATTTTTTCAACAGCATGTGTATATGTATGTGGTACGTGGCCATCTGTGTGTTTGCATGTGTGCACTTGCCTGTGGAGGCCAGATGTTGATTTGGGGTGTCTTCTTTGATCAGCCTTTACCTTATTTTTCAAAAGAGTCTGCCGTTGAGCCTGCAGCTCACTGATCCAGGGAGGCAGGCTGGCCACCGAGTTCCGGGGATCCAGTGTCTCTGCCTGCCTGGCGCTAGGATTACAGGTGGGCACCACCATGCCTGGCTTTTACATAGATGCCGAGCTCCTGGTCAGCACTTGCTGACTGAACCTTCTCCCCAGGCCCCGCGTGTTCAATGGTTCCTTTGTGCATTTCTCTGAGCCTTAAGATGGGAGCAATGTTTGTTTTCTGTCAGCTGCTATTGTAAAGCTCACTGCGTTTGCAGCTGCGCTGTTGAGGTAATTATGGCAATTTAAAGCACGAACTGTGGAAAATCTGTAAAGAAAGGCTGCAGCCACGAGGGCAAACATGAACAGCAGGAAGGAGTCTGTTTTCTGGGGTGGGGGTGGCCTGTCTTGGCCAGAAGAAGGGCAGGACCGCAGCGTTAGTTCAGACTGGGGATGGGGCACTCGAGCCAAATTTTCCTCTCAGGCTTCGTAATTGAAACAGGTTATACCTATCCTACATACTGGCTCAACACGGAGGTAGAAGGTCGCCCCCTACCCACCCTGTCATTGCTGCTGAAGCTTCCGGCTCAGCCCTAACAGTTACTGATGGCCCAGCCACATGGGCACTTGTTCCTCCTCATGCCTTTCCCTGGCAGCATCTTGATCAATCCAAATTTACTTCCCAGAGTGCATCTGTACATGTGTGTCACACATAAAATGCACACACGACATACAGTACACAAAACAAATGTAGAAAACATGTACAACACACATACAATTCACGTACACAATACACACATGTGGAGAACACACATATGATGCATGCTTCGTAGCCAGCCCCACTTCTTATTTTCTCTCTGTTCCTGAATACAGATGTGACGGGACCAGCCATCTCTCCCCAGAGTTGCTTTGTCAGTGCATTTTGTCACAGCAACAAGCAGGTAACTAACACGCCCCTCCCCACACTTCTGCTGTGTCCATTGAGCCAGGATGATCTGTCCTAAGATCTTATAGGTAGCTGCTGGTTAATTCCTTCAGTGGTTCACTGCTGTCGTCTGGATAAAGTCCTGATTCATTCAGGTGCCATAAATTCATTTATTCGGTCCTTCATGCTGGGGCTCCCACGGCCACTCCCAATCCAAGTGTTTCCGCGTGTCCTGAAACTCTTCGCAGCTGCTGCCTCCATGTTCTCTGCTTCTAGCTGAGAAATCTTCCCTCCTGTCATCCCAGCATCCTGCCGCCTATCTCCCTCACAGCTAATGGGGCACGCCTGAAACCACCTGTCCTGGCTGCTGCCTCTGTGGTCTCCATCACACTCCACTTCCCCTCCTCAGGCCCCATCAGCCCTGTGCTCACAAACTTGTGAGAGCCTTAATACTGCATGCGGCGCAAGGCCTTTCACGCTGAGCATGTTCTGTGTGTTCAACAAACAGCAGGCGGGGGCGTCTACAAGGAACCTTGTGCCTAAACTCACTTTAGGAATGGGAAGTGATGCAGTAACCCCCGTGCCTACGCCTAGGATCTCGCCCTCGGCCCTTCCGGTGACCCACAGTCAACCACAGTCTTGAAATTTTAAATGGAAAACTACATAATGAGCACTTCATAACAAGTATACGTTTACACTGATATAAGTGTTCTCTCTGATAGCTGCTGTTGGTAATCTCTTATTTCCCCTAATTTGGAAAATGATTTCATGGTAGGTGTGTATGTACAGGAAAAACCTCTATGCTTCCATCTGTGGACTGAGTATCAGCAGGAGCCTCTGAATGTAGGCTAAGGTGGAATTGGATTATTACTGCCACCAATTTATTTTTTTAAAAAAAGCCTGGCTTTAAAAATCATAAAAATGTCTTAGTCACATAATCTATTATAAATAAAGAAGGCCCCCAAAGAGCTAGAGTTTGTTACAAAAAAAAAATTGTCTTTATATGTATATGGCTCATAACTACGTGACAACTGGTTTCTTAGAAGGAGCTGAAAGTCCATCATCCTTTGCATATGAGTAACATGACTCTGTTGCAGAAGGGCCGCCTGAAATCACTGAGTAAATCTCTACATAGCCCTGTAAATAACTGCTATCACCCTTACTTGGTACAGTGAGGGATCACCATTAAGAATATGATGGCACACACCACTCGGGAGGCAGAGGCAGGTAGATCTCTACGAGTTTGAAGCCAGCGTGGTCTACAGAGAGAGTTCCAGGACAGCCAAGGCTACAAGGAGAAACCCTGTCTCAAAAACCCTTAAAAAAAAAAAAAGAAAGAAAAAAATTTATGTGTTTCAATGCTTATGTGTCTAAGGTTAAAACACCCAAGGAAATAAATCCGGACATATCTGCCTACAACTCAATTAACACTTTTCTTGTCTTAAAAGTAGTGACGATTAAACATCCCATTTAATGTTCATAATTTTGTGCTGAAATGGATTTCCATTTATCCGTGAGGAGCTGAGGAGCTACCCACGGACAGCCAGCTTGGACACTGTGATCTCCCGGGACTTCTGAATGGGATACCGACGATGTGACACTCCTTGTCCCAACTCTTCTGTGGGATCCAGATCATGGCTCCTGTCTAAGGAGGTGAAGGAGCCGGCAGCACTCTGAGGACACCTTGTTTCTCCTCTCCCACAGTCAGCAGGGAACATACTGACCGTGAGGGGGAATCTGTCTGTTAGGTAACAGAGATCTACGCATGTGCCGTTATGAGGCAGTGTATCAGGCTCCTCCTTGAGTGCCTGTAGACGTTCTGCACAGCGCTGGCAGTCTAGAAACTGGAGCTCCGGAAGCTCCCCAGTCTCCACACCAATTCTGAAATCTAGTGCATGGCTGTCCAAGCTGTCACCTTTTCCTGTTCTGTTCTGATTTACACTGTGCATGGGGACCATGTGGCCAGCCAATGGGATCTTTGGATTCATTTGATTAAACAACGCAGAGGATCTGTTGGCGATTTCATGGTGCCCTCTAAGTCAGGCAGTTTGACTCAGCCCCGGCAAGCGCCTGTCTGCTAACTAACAGGATTCCCCCTCTGAATGTTTGCCTAGGAATAGGATTTAATTGACACATCCTTGTCATAAAAGAGGCTAGTTAAAACTAAGACACAGAAAGCCTAATCTACCTCAGTTTAAGATGTGATTATGAGTGATGTCAACTAGGAACAAGAAAAATGTGCATGTGTTTTATCATTACGTACTGGACACACTCACGTGGACACTGAAAGCGTTTTCCAAGATGTGGCGCAGAAACAGACAGTATTAGAAGAGGCATACACTTCCAGAGCAGACTGTCTCAAGCTCAGGATTAATTGTTCTACTTGAGAAATTTAAGAATATTGTGTAATCCTTTCAATATACAATCAGCTGACTGTAGTCCATTTCCTCTGACTCTAGTAACATTTGTGACCACAGGAAAGAACATATCATCAAAAGTTGAGTAATTCATATTTTTAATTCAGAACACGGAAAACAGCTTCCTGAATCTCCCAAGGAGCTCTGAGTGTCTTCTTTTGTCTTGTTCTTGTTAAATTCCTCTTACTACTAGTCATTATTTAATTTTTGTTGACCTTTCTTTTTGAGCATAAGGCAGAAGGTCTTCGGCTGGACATGCTCAGAGGTGGTTTGTTTTGATTTGATTGGTTAGTTTTGAGACTGGGCTTTTTTCACTCTGTAACCTGAGCTGGAGGGAAACTCATGATGCTGCTCAAGCTGGCTTTGAACCCAGGGTAATCCTACCTCCGCCTCCTAAGTGCTAGGATCACAGGAGTGAGCCACAACACCCAGCTAAGTGTGCTATCTGATGAATGGAGGAATTAATAACTTCCCTAGAACTGTATCAACTTCCACCAACAGGCCCTTATATTATCTAAAGATCTTATCAATGTTACCACCCCTTTTTTATTTGGATTATCGTTCTCTTTCCCACATTCTAACCCTAACCCTGAGTTCCACATTCAATCCTTTGGCTTAAAAATAAAAGTGATGCGATAGATTTATAGTGCAGCCTGCAATATGCTTGCTCTAATTAGTGGCTTCCTCACAATATTATCTCAGCTCTTGAGCAGTTACATAACTTCTTAGCAGCATCATTAAAATCTGTCAAAATTTGTTTTGGCTGAAGACATAACGCCACTTGTCATGCGTTAAAAGTTTTGGTTATTTTTAAAGTATTTTGCTAATGTCGAATATGTATCACTAACGTTTCGACACATAACTTGGAATATGCTATATTTAGTGTAAGATATGTTAAAATGCAGCCCATAACAAGGTACATCTCCCGTTTATGAAAAATGAAAATCTAATATGAATAAAAGGTTTTCTATTAAAGTAGGCTTGGTTGGTGTTAACACCGCGCTCAACTGAGACATAGAATCATACTATTAGAATACAGTGTTCTCTGTTAGGATACAGTGTTCTCTCTTAGGATACCGTTCTCCAGGTCTGTGATTGCTTCAGGAACCTGTAAGACCTTAAAGGGACCTTCTTTCAGCTTTAATTTGCATGAGAGAATTTGTTTCTATCGGGCTATAATTCTCATGAATTAAATCTTGCTCATCTCACTGTCAGTAACTCAGGAGAGGTGGAAACATATGAGACTCATCTTTAGTGACAATCGTAATGAACGTGACTACGGCGCTCAGTGATGTACCCTGGACCTAATTCAGTGAAGCCCGAGAGTTACACCCACAGACAAGGAAGATGGAAAGTGGATCCACCTAGAGCTCACGGGGAGAAAGGTGGGTGGGGTGGTACCTGGTTAAGAGACGCTTCTGTGTTAGCCACGGGTGATGGGGAGCGACAGGCAGGTGGAGAGGAAATCTCACTGTTGGTTCCCTCCTCCCCAGACTCTTCAGTGACAGGTGACAGCAAAGTGTGACAGCGACCTGCAGTCATCTGCCACGTAAAATGTAGCCCAGAGGACATAAAAATCAGTTAGCTCTGTTAGCACAAAACCTCAACAGACACAGCTCAGGATGGTCTTCAGTATCTGGCAGGACTGAGACTAACTTACATATTAATTCCATGTTAGTATTTAAAGGCGAGTGACTATGGTGTTAGTGCTTTTTCTAAAACAGACAGATCCATGGCTGCATGTCCCACCCCAAGAGTTTTGTTGTTGGTTAAAAGCATCTCTTTTTATTGTGTTCATGTCTTTATAAAATAAGTAGAAATAGCATGAGTCAAACAAGGAAAAGAGTCTGTGAAATAAAACTTGGTCTACTGTGGCATCTCAAGTTTCAAAAATCCTAGGAAGATAAAAGCATCTAAACATCGGTTCTCAACCTGTGGGTCCAGACAGGGACTGAATATCAGATACCCTGACTGCCAGATATTTCCATCACAATTCATAACAGCAACACAAGTACAGTTAGGAAGTAGCAACGAAAATAATGTTATGTTGGGGGTCACCACAGCATGAGGAACTGTATGAAAGGGTCGCAGCATTAGGAAGGCTGAGAACCGCTGCTTTAAAGTCACACACGGGTTTGGGTTGAGTCACATATTACCTGAGGCAAGCATTGGTGAGGAAAATACACATCACCAGAAGGCGCTGTAGTTACCAGAACACTCAGTGGATTTTAAATTCCAAAATGTATGGGGAAATAATGGTGCAAAAGGGAGGTTAAATAGGGACCCCTTCTTTTGATCCACAACTAAATTTTGAATTTTCAATTTCCTTATTTTTCTCATAATAGCTTTTCTTCTAATTTTTACCATGCATATATATGTACATGCTTATATATTCGGCTTGAAAGGCAGTTATCTATATGTGTCGTGACTATCACATCCCTGTGGTGTAAAGGAATTATTTTCCAAATAAAGCCCGAAGTGGGTCAGTGTTATTGCAAAATTGCTCATGAATGAAAGGGTGGATCTTAGCCGCCAAACCCAATATTAACAGTCCCAACTGCCACTGTTTACAGGGTTAAAGATCAGCTCTGGGCCCTGGGCAGTCAGTGCAAATGAAGGAAGGGGCTCCTAAATTAGAACATACCCGCCCTGAAGCTAGTCTCGAAAGATGTGTGGCGATGGCTCCAGGGCCAGCAGCAGCCAGGCTCCGGTCCAAAGAGCAAAGCTAGCTGCAGGGGCAGACTCGGTCCTTACCATGACCACGGAGGGGTGGGCCGACGTAGGGAGGAGCTCGCGACCCAGGTCCTCGGTCCCTTCCGCCAGCCCGTCGACCTCGGTCACGGTCAGCAGCATGGTGGCATGCTTGGCTTTCATCGTCAGCATCTTGCATTTGGAATTCAAAGAGGCGATCTGCTCCTGGTAGCCCTTGATTTTCTGCGCCAGCTCCTGGGGAAACATTTTCCCGTGCGTGTCAGCGCAGCATCAGAAGGAAACAGCAGCAGTTCTTCTTCCTGCTGCCCCCAGCCAATGAGAGGCGGAGCCGAGCCCTGTGCCGAGCAGAGGCGGTCTGCAGCTGCCGACTGCTGCGCTCCCAGCCCAGCAGAGCCAGACCACAGAGCAGCCCTGCCCAGTCCCAGACAGCGCTCCCCAGCCGAGCTCGCACTGACCGGGCGTGCAGACGGGCCTTGAGCCCTGGCGAGTGACCCTTATGCTATCATGAGCTTCCAACATGAGGGACGGGCTACTTTCTCAAAAATACCTGAAGTCTCTGAAATTTACCAGATGGTTCCTGCCATGGAAATTAGGTCATGTGACGACTAAAACCAAAAAAACAAAAAACAAAAAAGCAGCAATTCGCAGCACTTATACTATCTACATCCAAGAGGTGGCAGTCACTTCAGACAGGCTTGCTGGTGTCCAAGGCCACGACCGTTGTTTTTCTATTGAAAATCTGAATCTTACATTCGAAATCTACGATGTATATCATAGATACACAAACTATAGGAATGATCAAACTATTGAAATGATCCCTAAAAGTATAGTCTTGAACTCTTAATTTATATGCCAACTGCCCTCAATGTAATGTCTTCTCAGGCAATATTCTTTCAGCAGACACATCACACCTCAAGCGTTTCTCATATTTCAAAGCACAGCTCTAAACTGCTATGCAAATTAGTATCTTCCAGTTTCATTTCGCTGTTGAAAAAGTATGATTTTGAGACATAACTGAAACTTCCCTGTAACTACCCTATGGACAGCACACAGCTCCTAAAAGGATTAAATACAGATCAGTTTCGGGAGTGGTGAGATCCTGAATATTACAACTATACTTTCTTACTTGCATAAAAAACCACTACAATTGTAAGATATTGAAGTAATATTTCTTGTGTCTTTGACATACTGAAAACATATGTCCTGAAATAGTAACATGAATGCAGGATTCCCTTGCTTCCCTTTTCCTTTCGCTTGGCACCTTGGCCTGAGAAGCTGTCCCTTGGTTTTGAGAGAGAACACTATCTGACCGAAAATCTAAGTGCTAGAAGAGCTGCATCTTTCCTAAAGACGCCATCAGGCTGGTTGGTTAGAACTTCAGGTCTTTCGCAGGATCAGGGACAAATTATCACAGACTGTCTTTAGTACTCATCATCCGCCTCTGTGTGGCCTAGCCTTGTGGTTAGGTAAATCCTTTGGGGATGCATTAAATTCTCGAAATTCATCTGAAACCTGGCTTTTCCATAAGCCACCTACCCAAGCTTCCCCTTAAGGCACTTGAAAATGTCTTGATTTAGGACTTGCTTTTGTTCTTTGTGTTCTATAGCTACAATAATACCATGAAACCATTTCCTCAGGGAAACATGTTATGGGATGGCTATCTGAATCCATGTTCCCAGACCATGATCATTCATACTTTGAGCTTCTAACTCCCTTTGAGACACGACACTGAACATCAATAATTTTTTTCTTTTTCTTTTCTTTCTTTAATTTTTTTTTTTTGGGGGGGGTAGAAGGATTGGGTTTTTTGTTTGTTTGCTTGTTTGCTTGCTTGCTTTGTTTTGAAAGATATGAGTCTTGCTATGTAGATTTTTCTGGCCTTAAACTCACAATCTTCCTGTTTCAGCCCTAGTGCTGGAATTACTGGCATGTGCCACCTGAATATCAGGCCAGACATTAACATTTTTAAACAATAGCGTGTGTGTGTGTGTGTGTGTGTGTGTGTGTGTGTGTGTGTTACATTGTTATAAGGTATTTGATTATCGTACCTAGAACACCTGATTGTTAACAAAATATGCGGGCTTCAGTGGCTGTCAGATGCAGTTAGGTGTGTCTGGAGGAGAAGCAGCTTGTGTGCCTGTGAGAGCCTCCACAGATAAGAAAGCAGAAGAAGGGGAAGTCACTGCCTGCTTTAAGGCTGGTTGCTTAGGAGAGGTCTGGTGGAGGGAGTCCCCCCACCATGAACGACATGGGTGCAGAGGAGGAGGTAGATACTCGTATATAGCAACTGGACCTTTGAGGGCTCTCTGTCCTGGCTCGGAAGAGCCCTCATGGAAGGAGCTCAGAGGAAGAGATAGGGATTTCTCTGTGGGCTTGCAGAACAACAGACAGGCAGCTGGCAGGACAGGGTAGAACAGAATTCTAGGAAATAGAGCTAAGGAGCCCTCGTGGGTTCGGAGGAGTTTAAGAAAAAGGTAGACTAGCTAGGTAAAAAAAGCAAAGCAAAGCAAAACAACAAAACAAAACATGGCGATTTCTGAGGAGTCAGCAGTTTTGTTATAGAATCAGGTTTGTAAATATATATATATATACATTATATATATACATTTTATATATACATTATATATATATATTTTACATATATATATATTATATATATATTTTATATATATAATTAAGAAGATAAAATTACCTCACTAAGCTAGCAGGTTTTTACCTCAGTTTATGCCTTTTGTGTCTTTATTGGTACAAATATTAGAGCAATTTAAAAAGACAAACATTACACTGGTTATGCAGTGGGCTGCTACTGTTTCCACCCTCCCACGTGAAAATGAGCAGGGGTGGGGGAATTCCAGCAGAATTGAGCCAGGAGCCTGTCATCTAGACACAGTTCACTGTGGGAATTAAAACAAAACAAACAAACAAAAAAACTGAAAGTCTAATTTACACTCCTGCGGCTAAAAATACTAATTAAATCTAAGGGTTTTGTTTGTTTGTTTGTTTGTAAGTTTGCTTGCCTTTTTTTTTTTAAGGTATCATGCCTTCGAGAGTGAAGCCTGGGGATCCCACGAGGTCCACAGAGTCAGACTTAGCTTTTGCCCACCCTGTGGTCACAGGCAGCTGACAGTTCCACCCTGCAGCACCCCACAAGCCCATGCTGACCTGACCTTTTCCAAAACTAATAAAAGGCATCTGTGACCTTTGTTATTACTGCCGCCAGGACCTTGATTTACTTGGTCTATCAGAATCTACACTCCACGGTCAGCCCATGTGGTGGCCTCCTCCTGTGAACACTGTCTTGTCTCTCTAGACTAAGGCAAATCCAGTCACTGAGACAGAGCCACGTGGGTTAATGAGTTATCCCTTCTCAGAAAAGAATGAATGCATGTGCACTTGGGCTGGACATTTCCACAAATGATTATAACAGTGGGTTCGTCAGGGCCGATGTACCCTTCAAAGAAAGCAACCCTCTGGGCGGCCTCCTGTCCTCAGGAGCATGGCTTTTGTGTGAGCTAGAAAGCTAAGAAGCCGGAGCATTCCTTCGTATGGTTTCAAAGTAGCTGGGCTTTGTTTTTGTTTTTTCAAGTGGAATGTGCCTTTTGAAGTTATTCAAAAATTAAATGAGCATACCATAAGACTGTATTTGTAACTGTATTGGACTCTCCTGAAATTCAATAAAAATGATCAGAAAATACAGGCAACAACCTATATCCCGATTTTTATGTTAGTACTACTCAGGCCTTCTCTGCTTGGCACTTCCCTTCCTGTGTTCATCTTTTCTGAGCTTCATATTTACATGAGACATCATCTAAGCCACAGAATGAAGCTAACAAGTGTCAACCAGGAGAAACTGTGACAGGATCAGGAAGATCACTGAGTCTCCTGGTGACTCTGCAAAAAGGTGGCTCTGAAACCTTGTCTTGAACTTCCTTTTTCTTTTTATGATGATGTCACACACACACAATCTCTGTTCCAATAAAAAAAAAATCACCAAAATAATGAATTGACCAGCATTATATTTGGCAGCTCAAGAGATTACTTTTTAAAAGTAGCTGTTTTATTAGCCTGCCTTCCTTCCTTCCTTCCTTCCTTCCTTCCTTCCTTCCTTCCTTCCTTCCTTCTTTCTTTCTTTCTTTCTTTCTTTCTTTCTTTCTTTCTTTCTCTTTTTCATTTAGCTCTCAAGGGAGAGTGAATTGACCTAATAGGAAATGTGGAAATGTCAGATCAGGAAAGGAAATTCTCTGCTGAATGTCACCAAGCTTTGTCACTCTGGAGCTGTGAGACCTGAGACCAGGAATACGAAGGACAAGGAGAAGACACATTTGACAGGAGGAGCAGCTGATGATTCCTGGTCTTAGTGAATAAGCATGAGCCACACTTTAAGAAGGCCATCAGCACAGCGGACATTAGCTCTCTGGTTTTTGATCTGTTTGCATGCATGGGGCGCTCAGTGAGACAGACATGAGCAACTCATAGAGGCTGAAGAATACAGGAGAATACATGTGTTACTGAGTCAGCAAAAACCACCTGCAAAATGCAGAAAAAGCTAGAGTGCTCTACAGGAACCAAGCAGGCTCCTGCAGGACTGGGGACCTTCCCTCCCAGCCACTACATCAGTGCTTCCCAACCTGTGGGTGGCAACGCCTTTGAGAGTCCAACCACCCTCTCACAGGAACCACCCAAAAACACAGATATTTACATTATAGTTTACAAAAGCAGCAAAGCTACAGTTATGAAATAGCAGCGAAAATAATTGCAGGGCTGTAGCTCACCCAGCATGAGGAGCTGTACAAAACGGACACAGCATTAGGAGGGTTGAGAACCATTGCATGAAATGAGACCAGTGTCCAGTGGTCAGTGTTCTCACTCCACCCTCCCGTCTGTCTCACCTCATGCCGACAGATCTGTGCCTGCAGCTCCTGGATGTTACTGGTGGCCACAGGTTTGTCCTCGATTTCTCTGTGTGCCCCATCTATCAGCTGCTGAAGATGCTTCATCTCCTGCTCGTACTGTTCGTACTGCACCACAGCCTCCTTGGGGGGAAAAATGAGAATGTGGTGTTTGTTTTGTTTCTGTTTTTTTGAGACAGGGTTTCTTTGTGTAGCCTTGGCTGTCCTGGAACTCACTCTGTTGACCAGGCTGGCCTCAAACTCAGAGATCTGCCTATTTCTGCCTCCCAAGTGCTGGGATTAAAGGCGTACCCCACCACTGCCTGGCTGAATATGTTTTTCTATATGAGTTCTTGGGTGGCTTTGCTATAAATGTTACCTTCTGTTTCCCATGTCCAGGAAATAAAAAAGAGGGGGTAAAGTCATTTTAGATGGCACAAATCATTAACTTTCACTTAAATACATCTGCTTTATCTTTCTGAAATATTATAATAGAATTATTAATGAAATCAAAATAGGGGAGCAGTTAGGATTCTCTCTGTTCTGCCTACTTAGATTGTCCTGAAGATGAGCTTCCAGGACATTAGGTTTCCTTCATCTCTCTGCACAAGAGAATTGGCTAAGGGGTTGAGGAGACGGCTCATTGGTTAAGAGCCTGCCACACAGCTTAAACAAAAGCCACATCTGTAACCAGCATTAAGAAGTGAGGGGTCGAGATCAGGAGGCTCCCACAGCTCATTGGTCAGCTTAAGCAAATTGACTAGCTCTGGGTCCAACAGAAGACTGTCTCAAAAAAATAAAGTAGAGGACAATCGAGGAAGACACTTACTGTTGACCTTTAGCCTTCACACACATGTACTTGGACATGAACCCCCACACATGTACATAGCCACACTATCAATGTACACACACAAAAATGCAACAAATTTTAAACAATGCTAAATAGCAAGACACCAGCCAAGAGCTTCAGTCAGAGATAATATCAATTAAACATGGGCTGTAGCCTCAGGACTAAGATCTCTAACAAATTACAAAGTAATAAATATCAAAGATGGCTGATCAAATGAGCACTCGGGGTTTAACGAGATACAATTATTTCTAAAGCAGGTGAATATCATTTAAAAGGAGAGACAGTAAGCTCATTTCTTCATGAAAATGATTCTTCTCTTATTACCCCAAAATATGAAAGGCTAAGTTTGGATGTATTTAGGGCAAAAAAAAAAGTACAAATTGGATGAAATATGAAAGTAATTGTGTAATATAGAACAGCAAACCCATATCATGAGCCTCTAGATTCTTTTCAAGTACATATATAACCACATACAAAAATTAATGTATATGAATCTCCTTTATATTAAAAAAAAAAAGAAGAAAACACAGACAATTTTCACTAAAAGGTAATATTTAGAGAGCTTTCCCGGGCCTTTGTGGATGATCCACATAATAGAACCTTAATCTCTTGATTTTATATAACTACAGCAGACTGTCAGATTTAGCATGCTGGGTGTTTTGATGGCTGAGCCCACACAATGCTAAGAAAAGCAGCCCGTGACTCATGTGTGCTCGCTCTGCTGGGGTGGGCGCGGCCGACTGAGCCTGCTTCACGGCGCGGCTGAACCTGCCTGCATGACGTTGTACTGCTGGATGACCCTGTGCTGCAGCTGACTGGCCTCCTCCTGCAGCCGCAGGGCAGCGTGGCACAGCGGCAAGCTGGCGACCACATCCTCGGGGATCCGGAGAGCGCTCTGGCGGAGCTGCACGGCTCGCACCTTCGGCTTCAGGGACTCCATCTCAGACAGTAGATGCTGAAAGGGACCATGTTGGGGTGGAAGCCGTTAGTGTCGTACCATGGGTTACATAAACAAGGACATTCTCTGAATCGTAGCTATCGGGTCAACAGGGTTTGTAAGGAATTCGTGTTCTAAACAATGCGTTGTGTTAAAGCTGTCACTGGGCTTAGAAAACATGTTTCTCTTTATCCTATTTTTAAAAAATAGACACCATCATCCCATTCATCCTAAATTATCGTGGGGGGTGATAAATGCACATGTGCATTTGAGTTCCTATTTGCAGGGAAATGGTGGGATTGCACATGAATGTATGTATGTGTGAGGAGGTCAGAGGTCAGCAAACTCAGATAACAGCTCTCTGGCCCAGAGCTTTCCACGTAGGGTAACCTGGGTGGTCAGTAAGCCTACGGGATTCTTCAGTTTCCTTCTCCCATGCACTGGGGTTTTAAACACAGGACACCCTGTCTCATTGTGTCGTTTTTCTGTCAGAGGCTCTCACTATGTAGCCCTTGCTGGCCTGGGACTCATGTCACTTGGGTGGCCTTGTCTGCCTGCCTCTCCCTCCTAACTGCTGGGATTGGCCATGCTCAGAGTTTTAACATGAGTTCTCCAGATCCATTCCTGTGATCAGAGAGCAAAAGCTCTGGTGACTGGGCCATTTCCCCAGTCCACCCTAAATTCTCTCTGCTCACCTGTCGATGCGACAGCTGCTCCTTGAGACTGAGGCGCCCCACTTCTGGGGAAGCCAGAATTGTCTGGGCCTGTTCCAAAGCCGCCTGTAAGTTTCTCAGCTCGCCTTCAAACTTTCTCATGTCCTGGGGAACAAACCCGGCAAGAACGTAAAATACAGTGACTTTAAAGTTCAAGGTCATAGCTGAAGAACAGCTCATACTGGAGAACCTATCTCATCACGGGTGGACACTTTCTCTCCTTGAGCATGCCAGTTGTCTGCTTGCTCATTTGCTTTTTACCTTGGCTGCATCTTGGAGACTCTGCAAACGACCTCTGAGGGTCTGCTGCAACTCCCCAGTCTCCCGTCCTGACTGTGCCATTTGCTGTGACAGTTTTTCTGTACAGTACACATTGGCAAGGCATTGTACTTTCTCGGCCATCGCTTCCAGGTCACTGTCAATTTCTTCAGATTCTTCCAGCAGTGTCTAGAGTGAAGTGTTGATATTTGTGAAACTGACAGGTAGGTGGGGATATGGATATGCATGGAAATGCAGATTTGCATATGGGCAGTGGAAAGACCAATAGATTCAGAAGAGATCAGGAAGAACTAAGCTGTTAATACACACTTGGCCTGCATGCCATGTGGGCTTTTATGAGCATGGTACAACGTTTGACCGTCTCACCCCGTGAGCCTGCTTACACACTGTACATTGTCATCCTGATGGTATAGACAACAAGGTCAAGTCCGGGAACCTTAATGGCTTACAAAGACCACTTGTTATTGCGTGAGGGACCTGCTGGTCCATGCTCTCTCACAACCAGGCTGCCTCCTCACGAAGCAGGACATGGGATTCCAGCAGCTGTGATGCTTGAACACGTGTGTGTCTTCATCACACCTCTAAGCCTGCATTGTCCCACATTTACACTAAAACATGTAGACTTCATGAAAGCCTGAGCTCTCTGGGGAACAAAGGAGACGACGGGAGAAGTAAAAATAGGGAGGGCAGGGGTACAGCACCCAAATGCTAGCTCACAACTGCCTAGTACTCAAGTTCCAAGCGCCCCAACTCCATCTTTTTGTATACACCCAAGTCTTCAAACTCACACATTTAAAATGAAAATTAACAAATCTTAAAGAATAAAGAGGGCAGTAGGAAATAAAATTTCAATATTATTATATACATGCACAAAAGGGAGTTGTTTAGCTCTGTGATCTCTTCAGATGTGCATGATGGCTTATGCCTGCAGTCCCAACACTCAGGAGTGCAGTGAGTTCAAAGCCAGGCTGGACGGACCACGTAATAAACTCTAGGTGTGGCATGGCTATGCAGCAAGATGTCATCCCAAAAACTGAAAACCACCATGAAAATCTTCAAGACTGCTTTTTCTGAAACTTACAGTATGTTCCACTATATGCAAATATCTTACAAAAGCACAATCTGACATTTAAATTTTCTTAACACCATTGCAGGGCCATCAAAATGGCTCAGCAGGTCAGCTTGCTTGGATGCTGGCATGCCAAGCAAGGAAGATAAAACTGACTCCTGATAGTTGTATTCTGATGGTTACATGCATGTGTGCATGATTGTTCACCCCCCACACACAAACACATAAATAATAAAATCTCACTACAGTCATTAATAGGACATTAATTATTTTCCATCTTTTGGATTATAGCCTCAGTTAAGGAATCCAGGAGGTGAAATCAACAGGGCGGAGCCCTGCCATCTTTGATAACCACCATATATTAAGGTAATTGCTTTTCACGTGATTTTTACTGCTTTTTTATTTTGACAATTAAAATATCCTTTTTCTTTTCTGTTCTTGAATCTCCATCTTTAGATTCCTAGAACTTGGTTGTATTTTCACCATTTACCAGCTAATTTGTGACATAAGTCTAGTCTGTAGACAACTAAGTATGCCACACTGCAAATGATTAGAGTTCTCTGAGAGATACAGTTGTCTGTAGCTTGGAGGAGTGTATGTGACTGAGAGGAGGAGAGATGATAGATAGGGGCTGGAATTTGAGCCATGGAAACATTCCAGGAGGAAAAAAAATATCCAGAACCATATCAGATTGAAGCAAAAAAGGAAATTTATTTTCAAGATAAGTCCTATGGGAAAATATCGACTACTTGATAATACCCATGTAACCTCAATAAAAGCCAGCCTGTATTTTGTAGCAAGATCTGTTAGAAATGTGCATTTAGTTCAACTGTAACTTACAAAAAGGATGAAATGATTTCCAGAGAGTATGACCAAATGAAAAGGAACATTTTTGTCTCCTAAGTTCAGAGGAAATGAAGTAATGTATCCTCCAGGGTGTGGATACAGGGTCTGTTCTCAGCTGCTCTGACCGGCTGAGTGAGTCACATGACTCAGCCCTGGCTGCAGCTGAGAGGAAACAGGAATGACAATGTGCTGGGTCACCAGCTTGTGCCAGGTAAGTGTCGGAGGTCTGCTCCCAGGTGATGGACATAGGGATATTATTAGAATTTGCATATTACAGATGAGAAGGCAGAAATGAGAGACAACATATTTCATTACAAGTCACACACTTAGAGTTTAGTTTTTCCTTTCTCCTTCCAGGTGTGATGTCTCTAATCTCACCACACTTCCCTGTATCTTTTTATGTGAAAGAATTTTCTGCACATCCCAAAGAAGGTTCTCCAGCAGCAGCAGCAGCAGCAGCAGCAACACACAAACACAAGAACCGTGGGCGGGGATGATTGTTTCAGGGGAAGAGTCACATAAAGAAAAGAGGATGTGTGTTCATAGAGTCTCATGAATTCTCATCCTTCGCTACTTTTGATCAAACCAGAGTAACTTTTCTTTTCTTTTTTTAAATACATTTATTTATTAGGACAGGGGCACGGTGCATGGCACAGCATAGCTGGAGGGAGCAGAGGACGGCTCGCAGGAGTCGGTTCTCTCCTATCACCATGTAAGACGTGGGAATCGAACCCATTTCATCAGACTGAGCAATCTCGCTGGCCCCAGGGTATTGTTTTTGTATGAGACTTACAATAATTTTACACTGCGGTTATTTAAATGTGGGGTCTGTCTAACCAGTTAAAGTTGTTTTTTTCTTTGTTAACTTTCTTTTTCTTTTCTGAAATTACCTGGTGCAAGATGTACTGCTCACGGAGCTGGCTTGCAGAATTCCACGCAATGTTTCCGTGCACCAGGACTTTGGCTTTCTCAGTCCACTTCAGAATGCCCTCAAGCATTTCATTGTATTCTTCTAAGTGTGATGATGCCTGAAAAGTCATCCATGTTCAGATGAACACAAAGCTATGTCATGAGCGAGAAATACAACCCTAATCTGTGTCTGTGGATACAGCTGTCCCAGAGAGTGGCAGATATTTCACTGCTATTGGAAGAGATCCTGGAAAGTCAGCTGCCTATGGACAATCTGCCACAGATTCCCCAGGAGCCTTAGGTAAAACCCCAAGTTCACAGTATGCTTGAGTTATTTCTCCTTTCATTACTCTCAATTATCGTTTTATTCTCTTTCTCATTTCTATTCCATTTCCACTTCCCATTGGGTAAAAGGGATGGCAGGCAGGATGGCATCACGCAGGATCTAACGCTGCAATGCATAACCACCAGTTCCTAAGCTGGGCACAGCAGTGCCTGTCACCCGAGGCCTTAGGAGGCAGAGGCAGAGGATCAGGAGATTAAGGTCCACCTTGGCTACATTGAGTGAGTTTGAGGCCAGCTTAAGCTGTATGAAAAAAACAAAAAGGAAAAGCTGAACTTCTCATTTAAATTTAACCTGATTGTAAAGATTTATGCCCAGTAGATTTGTAAAGGCCTATCTATAATCAAAAATTAAGATGACATATATGGGTATGTATGCAACTTTAAAACATTTGAATCTACCCTAAACTGATTTTACAGAACTCTTTCATGGGTGCTATTCTTTTTACAATGATAGTTCCAGTTAACAAAGCCTATACAGCCAACATGGGAAACTTTGTCATTCAAAGTATAATGTAGTTTGTTATGAAACAAACACAGGTTTATATGTAACTCATAGAAACATTGTAGAAAATAAACTATACCAAAACTTCTTACATCATTGCTAGCACCGTCTTTTGTATCTGTCTTCAAAAGAGAAGTGTTTATAATGTCTGCCATAAATCACTTTGGTTATTGACCTGGGGCATATACACACCTGGTTGAGTTTAGACAGCCGGTTCTCAGCCTGCCTGATTGTTTGCTGGTGGAGCTCAGTCAGCTTTCCTATCTTCTTGGCCAATGGCTTGCCCAGCTGCCTATGCTGTTCTGAGAATGTTTGTATAGCAGCATCTAATTCCATTAGCTCTGAGTTGCAGCTATCTAATTCTTCTCCCAGCATCTATATGGTCATCCACACAAAAGAACACACAATTACAAAAAAAGACATGTTCTGGGTTTTTTAAGATCAGAAGGATTATGCTTTTGATGGTTTGTATTAAAAGTAAAAATTATAAATAATCATGTTACTATGATTTAGCTGTTTCCATTTCTTGGGTTAGAGCATCAGAGCAGGTGTGCTGTGAGCCTCCTATGTTTCCCCACCCAGCGAATTTGAGCTGCTTAGCTCATTGACAGGGTGCAAACACAAAATGTGATTCACCTTGGAATTTCTTAACTTGTACAAAACATTCATCATGAATCTTTTAATAATCTATTAGACATACATGCATGCACTTCTATTAATGTATTTCTATGGCAATGATAAATTTCCTAAATGGACTGGTGCTAAGACATTTATGTAGTGTCTTAACTGCCTCCTGATACTACTGGGTTTCGGTGGCTTGCTAAGAACTCTCATAATTGGTAACATAGATACAGCAGTGTGTAGCTTGCAGCCAGCAGCCCCTTGCCTTTCCCTCCCTCCCTTCTCCTTACCTTCTGGTCAATCTTAGCTTGAACTAGATTGTCAGTTTTGGCTTTCAGCTTTGTTAGAATGATTGTGAGATCTTTAGCCAGTTTCTGGATTTGGCGGCCGAACTCCTGGCTCCTGGCCTGGCCCTGTTCAATTTCTTGCACCTTCTCTTGGATCTAAATGATCAAGGGGGACATCAAAACCAATCAGTGTAGGATCAGATAAAAGATAATAAAATTCTGAAATGACGCTGACTGGTCACACTTTGGGTGGACGGTGCTGCTTTGACACAGTGGACTTCGTGACAGTGGGTACAAGGGGAAGCAGAGACAGCTCAAGTTTCAGAAGGACTTGGCAATTGTGAGGACCAAACTTTGGACCTCAGAATCCAGGCGAGGAGCTGGGTGTCCTGTACCCATCAGTAACCCCAGTTCCACAGGTTACAGAGACTGAAGGATCTCCAAGACTGCTGACTTCCAGCCTCAGTGACAAAGCAAGATCCATGCATTCAGGAAGAGACCCTGCTTCAACAGGATAGAGAGTGATAAAGGAGGGGGCTGGGTGCTGTCTTCTTCCCCCCATGTGTGCCCAGGCACACCTATGCATTGTGAACACACACACACTTATGAATAAGTATGAGCCCCCCAAGGCTTTGAGGCTGATTTACTCTCAGTAACCTTGTGTATTTACTATGCTCTTTCTGCTGTTCCAGCAAGAAAAGAATCAATGTCTGTTCTCTGAGTCATTCATTAAATATTTACAGATGCGAGTTAGTGTTGCTCTGTCGGCAGCTGATCCTAGCTTGTCTGCTCAGTGATCTCGTCTCTGTGATACACGAATACTTTTTGTTCTTTTTCTACTCTTGGGTGTGTATGTATGTGTGTGTGTGTGTGTGTGTGTGTATCTGAGTATCTGTGCATGTGTGTATGTGTGTGCGTGCATGCCTGCGTATGTGTGTGTGCTTGTGTGTGTGTGTGTAAAACAGCACACTTTTAAAGGCTAGAGTACTCACTGTGGAGTCAGTTCTCTCCTTTCACCATGGGAGACCTGGGGGCCAAAGTTGGGCCATCAGGCTTGGCAGCAAGTGGTTTTTCCAGGTGAGCCATTTTGCCATCTCCTAAGATTTATTTTTTCTTCATGAAATAGAAACCTATGCACCAACAATTGCAGGCACATGGATTGTTTTCAAGCATCTTTTTCAAAGTGACATGACAAAGTACCATGACAGCTTAACTTTCAGCTGCATTTCTACTACATACCAACAAAGCAGGAAAGGAACGAAGAGAAACGAGGCTGCAAAACGTGATCAGAGTGTGGCTCACTGGTACTGTCCCTGCCCAGCACAGGGTTAGTCCCTAGCAACACACACACACACACACACACACACACACACACACACACACACACATACACACACACACTTACAGTGGGTTTGATTTGATTTATAGCAACATTCACTTTATGTATTTTTGTCAGAGTAAAATTCTGTGAAGAAAGTAATCAAGAATCCAAAAGTAACTGGGTGTGGCTATATACACCTATAATTCCAGCCTTCAGGAGCCTGGGGCAGAAAAATAAGGCCAGGCTGGGTTACAATACTGAGCTTGTCTTAAAAATAAATAAGTAAATTACACACGATTTTCTTTAGATACATGGAAGGTCCTTAGACTCCTCAGAGAGCAGAGTTGCATTAGTCCTGGCCTGCGTCATCTGACCTACGATACCAAAGTAACTAGAGTGTATGGAATAACTCTAGCAAGCAAGCAAGCAGGTAAACATAACTAATACATTTAAATTTTATTTATTTTTGTTTTCTTAATTTTTAAAATTTATTACAGTTTATTCACTTTATATCCCAGCTGTAGCCATTCCCCTCATCCCCTCTCAATCCTGTCCTCCCTCATCTCCTCCCATGTCCCTCCCCAAGTCCACTGATAGGGAAGGTCCTCCTCCTCTTCCATTTGACCCTAGCCTATCAGGTCTCATCAGGACTGGCTGCATTGTCTTCCTCTGTGGCTTGGTAAGGCTTCCCCCACCCACCCACCCACCCACCCTTAGGAGAAGGTGATCAAAGAGCCAGCCACCAAGTTCATTTCAGAGACAGTCCTTGTTCCCCTTACTAGAGAACCCATTTGGACACTGAGCTGCCAAGGGCTGCATCTGAGCAAGGGTTCTAGCTTATCTCCATGCAAGGTCCTTGGTTGGAATATCAGTCTCAGAAAAGACCCCTGTGTCCAGACTCTTTTGGTTCTCCTGCTCTCCTTGAGACAGGGTTTCTTTGTGTATCCTTGACTGTAATAGAACTCACCGAGATCCACCTGTCTCTGCCTCCTGAGTGCTGAGATTAAAGGTGTGCACCTTTTCTGGTTTTTCAAGACAGGGTTTCTCTGTGTAATACTGGCTGTCCTGGACTCACTTTGTAGACCAGGCATGCACCACTGGGCCCAGCCCTAAAGTTGATTTTTAAAAAATGATTTATTAATTTGTGTGAGTGTATGTATGCATGTGTGTGGATAACCTGGGGTCCAGAAAAGTGTGCCCGAGACCCTGAGGCTGGAGTTACGGGTTGTGAGCCAGCTGACATAGGTGCTGGGAGTGAAGCATGGGTCCCCTGCAAGAGCAGCAAGTACTTTTGATCCACTGGGCCATCTCTCTACCCCCCCTACGTGATTTTTCAAAGACTTTAACTAGTTAACTTATCCTTTCTGACAGATCTTCCAATGTCTGAGAAGTCCAATTGGCCAGTTAAATACTCAAAGAAAAAGTATGTCTTCATTTAGCTCACAATCATGGTAAAGCAGAACTGGATTCTGATGACGACTTTCAAATACCCTGCCTCCTTTCCTGGAGATTTAAAAGTAGAGCACAGATGTGTAGACTTTGTAGTTTAGGTTTCCTGAACCACAAACGTTTTAGCATTAGTGTATTCCCTTTGTGCCATATAGAATGGTTTCTAATCAAACTTTTGTTTTGCTTTTCACGATGGTTCCTCTGTGTAGCCTTGGCTGTTCTGGAGCTCCCTTTGCAGATCAGGTTGGCCTTGAACTCATGGAGATCCATGTGCCTCTGCCTCCTGAGTGCTGGGATTAAGGTGAGTGCCAGCACTGTCTGACTTATAACTGAACCTTTATGGCTCTAGCAATCAGCCACCAAGACAATTCTAAAAATCCCCTCACTTCCACACAGATGCTGCACGATGCTTTTTTTTTTTTTTTTTAATTCAGGAAAACACATACTCTTTATGGGAACAAAATCTAAAAATCCCCTGGTCTCTGCACCGGAAAGGACTATCTATTTCTTTTTTCAAACAATGTTCAAGTCTGCACTCCTGAGTTCTGACTGGTGTGCCTTCAGTTTGTTTGTTTGTGCTTTGGAGGCAGGGCAGAATGGAGCCATTCCTCTAATGGCATGTGCCCTTCAGCATGCACACTAGTGATAGCTACATGCCTGGTTTCACTTCTTTCCCTCCCATGAGTGTCTCTACCATCCACCCCAGACCTTTTAAAAAAATATTTATTTATTATCTATACAATATTCTGTCTGCATGTGTGCCTGCTCACCAGAAGTGGGCACCAGATCTCATTCTAGATGGTTATAAGCCATCATGTGGTTACTGGGAATTGAACTCAAGACCTTTGGAAGAACAGCCAGTGCTCTTAACCTCTGAGCCATCTCTCGAACCGCCCCCTGCTCCACCTTATATCTTGATGAACTAGAATCACAGTGTGAAGAGTGACTGGCATAGTCTGGTTATTCAATATGATATTATTTTATGCATGTAGTGAAACAGATAAATCCTATTTCTTTGTTATGCCTTGAGCAACAGGTTTCCAGTTATTGGATGTTGTTTGGGGATATTGTGGACCTCTTTGAACATGGGACTTAGCTGGGAGATGAGGGTTCCTGTGGATAGTACTTGAGATGTATAGGCATCTCTACTTATAGCCCATGCTTTCTGCTTTCTGGTCTTTAATATATGAGAAGTACCAGCCACAGTTCCTGCCTTGCCTTCGTCACCATGACAGGATGCTCTCCCTGAGTCCAAACCACTCCTTCTCCTCTGACTTGGTGCTGTCAGGTTTTCTGCCACAGTGGTGAGAAAAATAAACAGTACCTTTGTATGACATTATTGTTCATAGCTGTGGTGATCTGAATGCTAATTGCTTTATAATGGTTCATTATTTACCTTTGCTTCCTAGGAAATATGACAGTGCAGACCAAGACACATCTTGTAGGACTAACTCTGAAAGAGTAGAAAGCTCTCCTCTGTCTCTCTTAGAAGTTTACCTGCTCATGGATCTTCAGGTCCAGCGCAGCTTCAGCCAGCTGGAGGGAGATTTCAGATGGTAATATAGCATAAAGACCCAAGTACTTATTCTTCTGTTCCTCTGTGATTTTCTCAATGCTCTCTCGGTGGCTGGTGGCTTCAGCCAGGAGAGTCTGAGGAAGGAAAGCAAAACAAGAAAATTCTAGGTACCTGATAAGGATACATTTTTCATGAAAATAGAGAAAATCTATCTATTTTTCATTAGCTATGGTTAAAGGTGAAATTAGAGAAACATCTTACAAGGGCAATGAATGTCAGTGTGCCCCGTTTCATCAGGCAGATGATTCCATAAAGGAATAATATATTCTACCTTGTATCTGTTATGTATATACCTTGTATATAGCATATATATATATATATGTGTGTGTGTGTGTGTGTGTAATACATGCCTAAGATTCTAATTCACAATTTATTCAGTGCACACGAACAACCAAAGCAAAGGCAACATTTTGACTTAGAGTGAAAGGCTTCTGTACCTTCAGTTCTTCCAGTTGTGTGTTTATCTCTACTGTCGGATTCCCTAAGTACTCCTTCGCCTTTTGAACCCACGACCTCACAGAATTAATACGAGTCTCCACGGCTTCTCGTTCTTGTAGCTCCTGCTTCACCAGTTTGCCATGATTTTTCACTTTCTCATGCATGCTTCAAAATACCAGAGGGAGAAAGCAGAAGTGGACATGAAGCGGGAGGAACTCTCCGAGGCACCACATAATTTTAGAAAAGACATAGAAAGGCCAAAACCCAGTTTGCCTTGGCAGGTAGCATTACCTCTAATTCTTACAGATAATCTTTAGTGACACTGGGGTTCAGTTCAAGAATAACAGAAGAATTTGCGTCACAGGAGGTGAATAATTTATCTTTGGAAATTTGAGAGTCTACTTTGTTCCCTGCCACTAAACTGCTATTTGTTTCCGTATGCAGAAAACCTAGATTGCCAGATTCTTTCATCTTCCCAATCTGCTCAAATAGTACTATGTCATCACCATTTGAATGTAATGTGTCACTGGAATACATGTGGCTGTGAGAAGCCAGCCTTTAAAGGAAGACTGAAGCTTTAGACATGTAACCATGATTAATGTCAATGGCATGAATGATTTGAATAGTGGGATAAAAGGCCTTTCAATATATGGTATCAGATTACCCTAAAGTCATTAATAACTAAGAGAGGTGAATATAGATTTGTATAAGGTAACCCTACTTAATAGAGGAACTGAAGTATCTAAAGACATTTTCCCAATGGCCTCTTCTGGAGCATCAAGATGAACTTTTTCCTACATTCTCTAACAATGAATGGGCTCAACTGCCTAGATTTCGTTGTCATTCTTGTTCCCATCCCCCTGTATCATGAGCAGTTATCAAGCTTCATCAAACCAATATTTTAAATATTGCTTGGTTGCAGAAGGTCTAACCTGAGACTCACTATCTAGCCTCAAACTCACGATCCTCCTGCCTCAGTGTGCTGGGTGTTAGGATGGCAAGTGTGTGTCACTATACCTGGCACTTGCCATCTACTGAGTCACTCACTTGTCCCCCCTCCACCACCCAATGGATTTTCAAGCTTTTCCTGTGTCATTCCACCCCAGAGTCACTCAGCCCCACTCGGCTTCCAGCGGGAGAGGAGCTGGCTTCTTCGCCATCCCTCACAGACTGGTTGCCTCTGCTTGTAGTTTATTGGTGCCTGTGGTGGGAATCCTCACTGCCAGAATCCCTGGGGTAGAGACACCTGGGAAGCATACTTGTGAGCAAGTGTGTAAGGGTGTTTTCAGAGATGTTTGACCAAGGAGAGGATGACCTCTCCCAAAGGTGAGTAGTTAATTTAGCCTACCCACAGGCCAGGATCCCAGAGTGAATAAACAGGAAAAGAAGAGAAGGCAAACTGCACCGCCACGAATGGCTCTGTTCCATGACTTGGCTGCCTGAGACGGGCAGCCTTGTCATCCATCCTGCCTTCCCTGATGTGATGGACTATATCCCCTCAGACCATGAAGTACAACAAACCCTTCCTTCCGGTGCTTTTGTCAGAGTAACAAGAAAGTGACGAGTTTTTGCAGGCCTTCCAGTACTTTACTGAAAAGGTTCCTTTGCTCACTTACCAGTACTTCACACACAGAAAGGAAAACAATAAGCCTGGCTTCTTACTGCACTCTCTTTCTCTCTCTCCTACATCTTTCTCTCTCCCTCGCTCTTTCTCTCTTACTCCCCCTCTCCCTTCCTCCCTCTGTTTCTGTCTGTCTGTCTTTCTCTGTTTGTATGTCTCTGTCTTTGTCTCTCTGGAGGAGGTTTGTGAGTGTGTGTGGGGTATGAATATACACGCATGTGCTCATGCACGTATGTCTCCATGTATTATAGAGGCCAGAGGTCAAACTTGAGTGCAGTTTCTCAGGAGCTATTCATTTTTGGGTTTTGTTGTTGTTTTTTGTTGTTGTTTTTGTTTTTTCAGACAGAATCCCCATGGCCTAGAGTTCATGGTGTAGGCTAAGCTGCCTGGCCAGAAAGCTTCAGAGATCTGCCAGTTTCTACATCCCTACTTGCTGGGATTACAAGTATGTGCTACCATGTTCAGCTTCTCTTCTTTCTTTCTTTCTTTCTTTCTTTCTTTCTTTCTTTCTTTCTTTCATGTGAGTGCTGAGGATCAAATCTGGATAATCACTCTTGTGCAACAGGTACTTTATCAACTGGGTATCATCCTGGCTCTTTGCACTGTAAAATATTTCTATACCTCTCTAGTGAAGAATGGAAGCGTGAAGAAAACCTAGCAGTAGAAATGAAAGGACTTGGAGCTCCACATTTTGAAGCTGCATGCAGGAGCACCCCAAGCCTGAGTCCCCGGCTGAGCCAAGGGCAGCTGTAATTGTCAACAACAAGGTATGGAATTACTTGAGACACTGATCTTGCAAGGCGGTAATCTCCTGCAGGATGGGCACCTCTTCCCTAGGGCTGGGGAGGGATCCGTCTTGCAGTATGCTCAGCGCTCTCTGCTGCAGCACACCGAGGGCCAGCTGCTGCTGCTCCAGCTCCAGCGAGCAAGTGTCCTGGCGGTCAAGGAGGGCCTTGAGGTCGGCTTTTGAGGCTTTCTCTGTTGAACTTCCAGGTAATTTTCCTTGCAGCTGATCGATCATTTCAGTGGCTTCCTTAACCTAATGACAAGTATATATCATATGAAGCTCAAAATTACACTGAACAGAGTGTGGCGGGTCCAGTAAGCACCACACTTGACACAGTTAGCCATGATGACATAAACTCTAAATCTCCAAAAGGAAAACTGAGATGGTATCTTTAACATGAAAACCCACCTCTCTCGTTCTGGGTTTAAATTATTAATCCCCATATCTTATTAAGGCAGTCACAGACTACAAGCGGCAGATAAACTTTAAATGAACTGAACACACAAAACATCCACTTTTAAACTTGGCTTGAGAGAGAATGTGTGTGTGTGTGTGTGTGTGTGTGTGTGTGTATGAGAGAGAGAGAGAGACAAAGAAGACATGACTAAAACATGAAACCTTACCTAATGGGTGGAAGAAATTAAACACAGATTTGCAGACTATGTTAAATTCTTATTTTTGCAAAAAAGAAAAAAATTACCTTGCAATTTTTCCAAAACAGGTTAAAAAAATGGGCCTCACACTGGCTTGTCTTCATTTCAAAATTTCATTGCTTAATTTTAATTTTAAAAAATTATTTATATATTTTTAATTTTTGAAGTTTTATCTGTTATTTCTGTATGTGTGCACGCCCATGTGTGTGCACACAGGACACGGGCGAGCACACGGGTGTGCAGGTGACGTGTGGGTGTCATAGGACAACCTGTAGGGGTCTGTTTTCCCACTTCACTGTGGGCTCTGAGGATCAAGGCAGGTCATCAGCCTGTATCACAGGCTTCTTTACTTCCTGGCCCTCATTTATTTTAAAAGTAACATACAAAACAGTAGATCCCCCTATGACATTTTCACACCTACTTGGTTCTGCCTGAACCTGCCTCTCCCTCCCTGTCCAGTCTCCTTGGCGTTCCCCACGCCTCCCCTTGCATGCATTTTTCTGTCCCGTGTGCTCTGTCTTCCTACTCTCTGTCGCAGGCATGCTACTCTCACATGTCATCTGATCCTGACTTAGAACTAAACTGTACAGTGCATGTAACATTTTGTCTCATAATTTAGTTTTCATGAAATTGAGGAAATAATGAACGTTTCACAAGGCTAGTTTCAAAAGAGAAGCAGGTGGCTGTTTGGGTGCGAAATGGCCCATCCCCCACCTCCAGTCTCCGGACCCCTAGTTGATGACCCTGTTTGAGGAGGTTCACGGGTCCTGGGCTTTCTGGAGGAAGTGTGTCACTGTGGCAGGGCTTTGAGAGCTACTTCCGCTTTGTCTGCTTTGGGCTTGTGGATCAAATGTGCACTCTCATCCTGCTGCTCCGATTGCCAAGTCTGCTGCCTCCCTGCCACTGAGGAGCCTAATCCTCTGGTACCATAAGCCAAAATAAACTCTTTCTTCTATAAGTTGCCTTGGTCATGGTGTTTTGTCACAGTAGCAGAAAAGTAACTAATACAAAGGCAAAATACAAGTTTTAAAAATACACTCTACTCTTGGAGAAGTAAAACAAAACACAGCTGAAGCCAATCTGTAAGGAAAGTTACCTTATCACTCAAGCCCCTCCACTCATCTACTGCATCCTCCAGTATCTTCTCCTGGTCCTGGGCCACAGCACGGAGACGCGTCCAGCGCTGCCAGACAGTGGTCATCGACCTGCTTAGGCTTGCTTTGCTTGCATCGTTTCCGGTTTTCTCTAGTTGTGATGCTTTTTCCTCCAGAGCCACAATTTTCTCATGGAAAGAGTCAACTATAGACACTAAAGCCTAGTGCAGGGTTGGGGGTGAGTAGAGGGGGTTAGAGAAAGGTTGATTTTTTTTTAAGTTCTATGGACTTGGGTAAAGCCCAAAGACACTTGCAAAAAGGAAATATTTCTGTGTAAACTTAGGATCCTCAGGCAGTCGTGGTGGTGCATGTCTGTAATTGTAGTGGTGGAGAGGCAGAGCAAGAGATTCAGGGGGTCAAGGTATCCTCAGCTACATGGAGAGTTCAAGGCTAGCCTTGGCTACCTGGAAGCCTACCCTTAAAAACCCAAAAGTAAAATAATAATTATGAAATCATTTTGTTACCTTTAACAACTCTATTTTTCACTTATCAGAGTTGGGTTTGGATTTATTTTGAAAGGGGAAGATTATTTATTTATGAAAGACGAGTTATTTTCTACTTGAAATTTTTTTTGATTTCTGAAAATTAATAAAAATGATAGCAAATTTACTTTGGTATTTTAGAATGTTATAGTCTTCCTTACATTGCTACGTTAGATGAGGGGCACTCAGTTATTAATTTCTAGATTTTATTTGAGTTAGTTTAGTTTATCCAGAGCAGTATTTACCACCATTTAAAAAGGTTTATTTATTTCTTTATTCTGGAGGCTGGCAGGACCCGGGCAGGATTTAACGATGACTTTTTATATAGTCTCCTTCCACCTGGTTTTGCAGAGGCTATCCCTCTAGTTTTCTGCTGATACAGACTCCTGGAGCTCCCAGGAGGCTCCCTCATTGCCATCTCCCATCTTGCGGTGGGGGTGCTAGGATTATGAACCTGTGCTTGAACAGCCTTTTGTGTGGGTTCAGGGGCTCCCACTTAGGGTGCCAGGTGTCAGGCTTACAGAGCAAGCACTTTTACCCCCTGAGCTGTCCTCCCAGCCCTTTACTGCCATTTTTAAGCCCTGGGATCTTACCAGAAGCAGATAGTTTGGATTTCTCTTTTGAGTCTTAGCTATGCCTTTCTTGTGAGCATCCCCAACCATGAAATGTGTTTTTATCATGTCTTCATCACAAGCAGGATGGAAATAAAGACTTACTGATGTGATTTTGAAAACATTATATCACAGACTGTTGCAAGCCACATGAAGAGACATTAAAATAGCCACAGAACTGACCTTGTGTTTGGACAACTTTTCCTTGGCTTCGTGGCTGGAAGAAGTCTTCAACACCGAAAACTCAGACAGCTTCTTTTCCACATCATTCATCAGCTCAATCACTTCTTCCCTTGCTTTCTGATACTCTTGCCATTGAACCGTACATCTTGAAAAAGCCCAACAGAAAAAAATCAGCAATACTAACCCAGCTATTTCTACACAGGGCTCTAGTGTCCACATGTCTGACGATAAGAGAAAGGAAGTGAGTTTACATGCTAATGTATATTACTATGCATATTGTATTAGCATGCTGCTCTTTTGCATGGGTCTACTCTAAATACCTCTGCAGGAGGTCCTGCTGGGCCTGGGAGTCCTGGGTGATCCTCTGACTCCTCTTTTCCAAGGACGCCATCTTCTGTGTTAGCTCTTCCTTTCCATTTGGCTTGATGAGTGGGTCCAACTTGCCCACAAGACCTCGGAGCTCCTCCACATTGCTGTGGAACTGCCCCTCTGTTTTGAAAAATTCCATGTGACTTTTGAGGTTTTCCTCTGCACTCTCAACATTGAGGCCGTTGCCTGCCAGCTGTAACATTTCTTGGGCATCCTCAAGCCAGTCATTAGCTGCTTGGAACACTTGATAATACCTTTGACACTGACTGTATATTTCTGTCAAAGTTGCCTGAAAGATAGTCATCATGATTTCATCAACTTCCAATTTATAGTAGATTTGTAAAATGGCATTTCATTTTTTTTTTTATCTCTTTTCTAGTTCTCAGCTCTATCAATGCCACGAGAAGTTCACACGTGAGTTAGGAGAATTGTTTTCAAGGTGAATGCATTCGAATCCTTTATTTCTCCTTTTGCTAATTTTACTATAGTTCTATCACTGCAGTTAAAATACATAATGAATAAGTAAGGAGATAAATGAACTATCAATTTATGTTAGCATCTTGACTGGTTTTGAAACTATAATTTTTTTTTTTCTTTTAAAGACAAATGCAAAGCTCAGTAGTGTGTTCCTATCTGGATGTTTTGCAAAGTAGTTATGCCTCAGTGGGCTAAAAGAATGACAACAATCAACTTCCAAACCAGCCTCTCTCAGCTTCTGGAAATGAAAGAATTGCCCTTAAGTCTTGAGCAGAGACTAAAACAGCATAAATCCACAAAGATTGCTGCTTCAGGAAGAGAATTACTTTACCCAGCCATCAATGAATAAGAAAGCAGAGCTACACCGACAGCGAAGGCAGCAACTCAGTAGTCACAAGCAAACATGGGGAGAATGGAAAGGAGAGCTAAGGGTGAGCATGCGGCGTAGAGATGCTTCCAGAAACGCTGTGACCTACAGCTGTCTGGACAGCAACAACCACAACACAAAGGCGAAGCACAGACAGCCTAACAGATTTAAGGTTGTATTCAAGAATCATCACCGACTCAAAACATAGTCAACGTGATAGATCAGTGGTTCTCAGCCTGTGGAGGGCTGCACAGCAAGTATCCTGCCTAACAGCTATTTACAATTTGATTCACAACAGTAGCACAATTACCGTTAGGAAGTAGCAACAAAATAATGTTATGGTTGGAGTCACCACAACATGAGGAACTGTATTAAAGGGTCACAGCATCAGGAAGACTGAGGACCACTGTGATAGATGATTTTTAAAGAGCAAAGGTCAGTCCTTGTCCTGCACTCAGGGCTCTCGGGGCCCGCCTCTGAATTTACAGCTGTGGGAATATCATTTTTAAAATCTGAGCTAGCATGGAGAAGGACTTTGCTAAGCAAACTTTGAAAAGCCAGCATTTTACATATTCATTACAAGCTTTCTTAAATACTAAAGGTTTTGCTATTTAAAGTGTTAGATTTAATCAGTGTAGGAAGCAAAGTTATATGATAGGAAGATTCTGCATGCCTGGTGCCCAAAGAGGCCCAAAGAACATCAGATCACCTTGAACTAGAGTTACTGGTGATTATAAGGTTGCCAAGGTCAGGTCCTCCAGACAAACAGCACATACTCTTAACTATGAACCATCTCTCTAGGCCAGGATAATTTATTATCTTTTGTGACACAGTTTCACAGAGCCTAGGCTGGCTTCAAAATCCCTATGTGCTCCTCCTGCCTCTGCGTCTCAAGTTCTGGGGATACTGCCATGTATCACCACGCCTCGTTTAAGCAACGCTGGGAGTGTGCGTGATGGCAAGCCACTGGGCTTCACCAGCTGAGCTACACTCCTGGCCTGGAGGCCAGGGCATTAAAGGAGTAGATCTACGCCAGCTGCTGTTTCTTTTCTCTCATGAGGAGACTGTGCAAGGTCTTGAGGCAGCCCCAGTAGGAGGGCGATCTGGGAAGTTCTCCACGTGCTTCCATTGCTGTTTGTAGTTCCCAGGTCTTGGGAGCCGCAGATAAAGGACCCTTCCTCCTGCTCTGTTACATTTCACATCAGGGGAAGGAAGCGCCCCTCCCTAAAGAAGGGGAGAAGACACAGGGCAATGGATGGCACAGCCTACATAACACTGTTAAGGAGGTAGTGTGAAAGGGTAAAGGGTTGGTACATGTTTTGAATTTTTGAAAAATATGCCAATCACAATTAGTGTGGAGGCCCCTTCAAAAACTGCAGACAGATCAATGTATAAGACAGCCATACCGCCCCTGAAGGATTCTAGTTCAGCACGTCACAGAGACCTTGAACATCTACACTTACTACAACATTAGCACTAATACTTCAGGGATGGAATTGACTCAAAGTGCCCGCCATCAGGGACGGACAAGGAAAATGTGGAATGCATATGCGATGGAGTTTCATTCAGCCATAAAGAAGATCAAGGTGATGTCATTTGTAGGGGAATGAAGGCAACTGGAGAGGCTCATACTCTGTGTACGGGTCCTTGATCTTATGGAGGTGCAAACACACATACATAGGCCTGCATACGAGATGAAAATGAAAACTGACTAGGGAAAGGGAGGAGACAAGGGGGCAGTAATGTCTGAAAATACCCTTACAAAATCCAGGACCATGTATAGCGAATATATATATTTCCTCTGAGGTTGGTTGAATCTGTTGTAAGCTATGTTATCAAAATAATTTATTATTTACCCTAAAGGTGAGAACAAAAATGATATACAACACCAATCCAAGCAAAATGTAGCCAATAGGGGACCCATGACGATGATTACACATATAAACAAGAAAAACGATCTTTAGAAAAGCACCATTGTGGATGATTTGGTAAACCATCAAAAAAGCAGTGTTAAAAAAAAAAAGCAGTGTTTAAGGTTTTTTGTTTTTATTTTTAATGTGTGTGTGTGTGTGTGTGTGTGTGTGTGTGTGTGTGTGTGTGTGTCTGTGTTAAAGTTTTCTGTAGCCCAGGACTGCTTCATAGTGGTTTGTAACTGAGGAAGGCCTTGAACTCCCAATCTTCCTGGCTCTACATTGCAAATGCTGGATGTGTATGCATGACTCATACAATTGAGTAAAATAAAGCACTGGGGTTTTCAACAGACAATCAACCCAACAGAGATTTTTTTTTCCCGTGTTTACAGGTAAGCCTCCTGGAAAAGAGAGGCAGAGCGCCCCCTACAGACCTGCCGGGCGCGCAGGGCTTCCTGAACGGCTCCGTCTAGCTCCTGAAGCTCAGCCAGGGTGTGTTCCAGGTCTGCAGAAATCAGCTCTTTGGCTTTGGTGAACTTCTCCTGCTCCTTGTGACTCAAGGCGCTCATGATCCTGAGGCTGGACAGGACCTCCTCCTGGTGGATCTGGATCTTCCTGATCTCCTCCTGGATGTCCTGGAGGCTGAGGTCAAGGCACACCGGCCCACTGAGCTCTGCCTTCACCCTCCGAAGCCAGTCCAGGGAACGGCTCATCTCTGTCTGAAAGTCTCTGCTCTGGACCATTCTGCTCTCGCACTCTGTCACTGTCTCCCCGACGCCAGAGGTCAACTGTCGCAGCTCCTCCTGCCAAGACTGGACCTGACGCTTGGCTTTCTCGTAAGCCAAAGGATCAAGCTGCGGAATAAGGTCTTCCAGGTGCAGGGCCACTCGCTTGAGCAGGATCCCCGAGTCCTGCAGGCTTCCTGCCAGCGAGTGGTACACTTTGAGCTTCTCCTCTGCAGGCAGTGTTTCCTCATTCACTTTGGCCTGCTCTGTTTTCACGACTTCCAGCTGACTCTCTAGCTGCCGGCACATGCTCGTGTGCTCTCTGTAAGCACTGGTGGTGTCTTCCAAGGAGCTGACCCTTTGCTCGGCCTGCCGCTTCAGCCTGTGATACAGGGCGGCCAGCTGCAGCATCTTCTCTGGCTGCCAAGGCTGACCTGTGCTGCGAAAACTTTCTTTTTTCTGGCGTAGTTCATTCACGGCTTCCCCGAGGGCCGCCACCTCACCCAGAAGGGCTCTGCAGTTCTCCTGAAGAGACACGCTCTCCTCAACCATCAGCTCTGAGGGCATTTTCCTCATCTTTAAGAACTGGTCTTCCAAGTCCCCCAGAGACTGGGCTGTCAACTCGATCAAAGAGGCATATTCCTTTCTGGCCAGAATTGCTTCCTGGATCTTGTAGAACTTGTCCTTTGCCAAGGCAACGATGACATTGAATTGCTGGGGCAGAGCACTGAGTTTTTCACTGAGGTAGGCATGATCAACTTCATTGAGCGATGGTAGCATGGCCTGGCCAGTACTCTGCAGTGTGAGCAGAAGGTTTTCGCACTCTGGAGATTGTTCCAGAATGCTCTGGTATTTGTCCAGCTGTGCTTGGAGCTCAGCCCTCTCATTCATGAGGTTGATTTCAGGAAACGTGGCAATGTCTGCTTGTTTAAGCCAATGGCAGGCTTTATCGAAGTCTTCCTTAAAATGCTTTCTAGAAACCAGACTCTTCTCAAGCTCTTGCAGCCGGTGACTGCATTTGTGTAAAACGGTGTCATAGACACTCTGCAACTCCTGAAGCCTCCCCAGCACTTCAGCTTTTTCCTGCTCTGTTATTCCCTTCATCAGTTCGCGGCCCTGTGCCCAAAGTCCAGTGACCTCATTTTGGTAAGTCTTGAGGCTGGCCTGCGCAGTCTTACATGTTTTGACCTGCTTGCTCACATCATCTGGAAGGAGGCAGATATATTCCCGGAACACGATCTTTCGTTCATGTTGCTGGATTTGGCTGGTGGCCTGGAAGACTGCTGTGAGAAACTGGGTTTTCTCAGACAAAGCTTTGTTCAAGTACCTTCTTCGCTGGCCCACTAAGTCACTGAGGCAATTCACATGCTTCTGGGCATCTGACAGTGCCTTCTGGATCACCTTCCGTTCGCTGAGGCCAAGGTCAGCCATCACGCGATCTGCATCCTTCATCACTGACTTCAGGAGCATCTGTTTGGCCTCCAGCTCACTGCAGATGGCCAAGTGGTCCGTGAGGAGGCTCTGAGCCATGTCAGGAGGGGGGCTCTGCTTCAAGGCTTCCGCAACGTTGGGCTGTTGCTCCTCTGCCCACTCCATCAGCTCCTGGAATTTGGATTGCACTACACCTAATTCCTCCAGGTTGGTGACCGACACCTGGATTTTCCTTTTGACCAGGTCCTCGAGCTGAAACCACCGTTGCTCAAAGTGACTGGTCTGTTCTCTCACCAGCTCTCTGTCGTCTAGGCTCAGGTGCTCGATCAGCTTCTGTTTGTGGTCTTTCAAGTCGTCAATGGTGTACTTCTTCTCTTGCAACACCAAGGCTAACTTCTTCAAGGCCTCCAAGTGGACCGCTGTGCTTTCTGCGTTGGATCTATAAAGACACAGACAAACGCAGAAGCACATCAGCTCCTGCTCTCTGCAACAACACTTCAGCACTCTCACTGACGGGGAACTCAGAACTTAGATTCGCCTTGGCTACCTTAGTTTATGGCTGACTGATGAAACTGTTGGCATTAGGAACTTGAGTCTCATCTAGCCCGTGATAGGATCAAGCTGCCTATGTTCTTCTCAGTTTCTCACTAGCTCATGCTGCCCTCCAGTCACACCTCCATGTGCCTTTAGCTTTCTGCATCTTTATGATCTGCCTAGTAACGTGATACGTGTGTTATAGATGAAGAAACGCAGACCTACCTCATAAAAATAGTGTTTAACATCATCAAAAGCATTCAATTTATAGTCACTCTTTTTGGAGCAAGGGACAATAGCAGAGCCCTGGATGACTCAATCCAGAAGGTATAACCAATGGCACAGGGGCTGTCTCTATGGACCTGGTTATTTTTATATAGCTCTGTGCTTAGATATGAGAAAATTTAAAAATAAATGTGTGATTTAAATCATCACAATTTTTTGTTGTTGTTACAAGGCCTAGATGAAAAAGCTGGATATTATAGTCTGTCTTGAATTTATAGGTGATCAGTTCTGAAGTATAGGAAATCAGGCTTGTTGGCTTATGGTTGAGTTTGGTCTTGGATAAATTAGGTTTAAGGTACCTATAGGATCACTGTAAATGAGATACATGGAGAGGTATTGATAGCTCATATTGACAGCATTTATTTTAAATTAAACTCAGTAAAATGCTGAACATTAAGAAAGAGTAAAAATTAAGAAAATAGTACGGGAAAATAAACAAACAGTAAAACATAACCATCATTTATCTAGTTCTAGAATAATTTTGGCTGTTTGTTTGCAAAAACCTAATAGGTTATGTAGAAAGCTCATTTTAAAATAATTGTAGTGTTCAAAAGCATATAATATACTAGTGTGTGTGTGGAAGAAAGGTACTTATCTTTCAAAAAGTGAAAGCTACAAGGATTCAAGGAGCAAACATCTCAAAGGGCATAGTTTAACTGAATCTCAAAATGATTTCCTACAATGTGGCTATTGTGGTCTGAAACTGAAATGTTCCCTTATAGGCTCATGTGTTTGTACGCAGCGGCCGGCTGGTGGCGATGTTTGGAGACTTGTAGAGCCTTTAAGGAGTGGGCTTTGCTAGAGGAAGCAGGTCACCAGAGTGGCCTTGAGGTTCAATAGCTCAGCTTGCTTCGCATCTGTGCTCTGCTTCCTGTTCCGAGATGTGACAGGCCAGATGCACACCCCTGCCACTGTGGAGAAACCATCACCACATCCTTCCCTCTACGATGGACTGCATCCCCTCAGACTCTGAGCCTAAGCAATACTTGGTCAGAGCAACAGGGACGAGAAGTATCTTAAACAGTGACCAAACTTGACTAAAGTATGTAACACATACTACTTCGCAGACTTGCAGAGACACCTTTAGAACAAGGTGGCTCCACTTCACAGAGTCCCGGATGGCACCCAGTGATTGGCTGTTAGACAAGGGGAAACCACAATAGTGTCGGAGAACACACAGTGACACGTCTCTTTTGCTTGTGTAAAGTTAAGCTGGAAGCCTTCCAGTCTACTGGACAGCGATAGTGACCTCTGCCTGAGGTCAACCTCTGCCTGAGCATCACGGTGAACCGCTGGGGGACTTCTGCTACCTGGCCAGGTTATCCCATTCTGTCGTAAATTTTTCAAGGAAGCCTTCGACAACGTTCACGTGGCTGTGGTAGCTGCTGGTTCTCTGCACGTCCTGCTCTCTCTGTGCGCAAAGCTGGTCAGACTGGAGGCACAGATCCTGCCACTGCTCCTTCAGGTGGCCGAGTTCCTTGTGCTCAGGAGACTCCTGGTTCTTTGTTAACGTGTTCACCTTTTCCACGATGGTGCTCACAGAGGCCTCTTTGCCCTGCAGCTGCTTAATGAAATCCTGAAGATAACAATGCAAAACAGGAAATAAGCTATAAGCCCTCCTGAAGGAACAGGCTGAAACACAGATATAATACCTTTAAATATAGGTAATAAAAAATTTGAAAAATTTAAAACCACCATTCTTTCTTCTGAACCTGAATTCTCAACTATAGAAGAAGCACAGTGACTTTGATATTTTCTTGGTTTGTGTTATTTTGAGAAGCACAAACAAAATACAGAAGTAGGTTTCCTTCAAGTGAGATCTTAGTCCTCTCAAAATTGTATGAAAAAAAACTTTTAAATAAAAAAATAAAAAGTTTTTGCTCTTATGGAAAAAATATAAATTTAATTCCCTCTATTCTTTTTTATCCTATAGTTATAAATAATATTCCAGTAGAAAATATAAATAACTCATTATCAAAGAAAACAGTCTTAAAGCTTGTTTAAGATATGACCCTCAAGATTATATGCTTATAATAATTCTCAGTTATACACATGTAGATTGTAAACCATATTTCTGCTTTATTTAAATTAATTGCACATTAAGGATGCATTTAACAAACTGGCTGGCATTACTTACTATAGCTGCAGCTATACAGCAATACAAATCTGAACAATAAGGTCCTATGTGTTTTAAACACCAGTTCCCTGGTTCTGGGGGAAATGGTCATCTGTCTTGCTTGCAAACAGTGAATGTTTCATGTGAAAATGGCTATGCGGAACTCTGAGAATATACACAAAATATTATTGATTTACCAACTGACACAGGGTCTTTCCTGCATTGCTTGAGCTAGGCTTGACCTCCTGGGATCAAGCCATTTTCCCTCCCTAGCCTCCAAATACAGAGGACTACAAGTATGCATCACTCGCTCAGCCTGTGCTTACCTGTGGCCCATACTCTCTCATTCTGTAAGCAGCTGTGCAGGGTCTAAGGACACACAGACAGCTGGGCACACACAAGTGAATGCACTGAGGACACTGTGTCTCTTGCTCTGTCTTGGTGTCCCCCCCCCCACCCCCCGCGGAGGCGTCAGTTCCCACCTTTACTTGGGAGGCCATGCTCTGAGCAATACTGAGCTCCAGCTCTGAGGGCCTCCTCTTCATGTTCTGCAGCTGTTGGTCAGCATCCTGCAGGTAAATCCAGAGCTCGGTTTTCAGGTGCTTGATCTCTTCCCAGCCCTGAGTTAGGTTCTGTGCTTGGACCAGTCTTTGCTCAATCTGGAGAAGACACAGTTAAATGTTAGCAGTTTTCCATGGCCTCATCTCTCTGTTCAGTAAATCTGTGGCTTGTCAGTGGGCCCGTGAGCAGAGCCTGACACTGTGCTCACACTCAGTTAGATCTGAGAAGCACTTCTTTATTAGCATTAAAAAAACAAACAATAAGCAAACAAAAAACAGATTTCTTTTAGCCTTAAGAGTTTCTAAAGAATTAAAATATCTTAAGTGTTCTCCCATGTGATTTTAATCAGTGCTGCGAAGATCTAAGAAATTTTAGCAAAGTATGAAATCAAAGGCTGCCCCAAGAGCTTTTCCCTTCAGGCTGAGCAGAAGGATGCATCTATCTGACTGGAAATTGGGGTGTGAGTAATTAAGAAAGGCTTACATCCCTTATACATTTGTTTTTTTCATCTTATAAAACCCTGAGTGTTTAATGTCATTATTTTTTTGTATGTTTGTTTTTTATTTGTTTTTGGATTTTTTTTTTTTTTAAACAGGGACTTACACAGCCAGGGTGACCTGGAAGTTCTGACAATCCTCCTGCTTCAACCTTGCCCACCCTGGTGGCCAGATCTCAGATTCACCGTGCTGCCAGACACTGCCCTATTAGTGTCTTTAGATCTGCTTCTCAAGCTTTTGGAAGTGTATAATTCACTTCCTTACAACTGTTAAAGAACTAGTAAAGATACAACTATTAAAGATCACTTTTTGCAAGGATTTTGGCACTAGCCCACTGGCAGGCCTGGTATACGGAGCTAGGGTAAGGGGCTCTTTAGACTGAGGATTAGTTAAGGGAAAGGAGCAGAGGCCAACAATAACAAAAACAGTACAAGGGGATTGGAAAACACTGAGAGACGGTAGTTAACGCTGACGAAGGTGCAAGCAGCAGTGACTGAATAAACTAAACAGTTCAGCGGTGACTCTGCCACGCTCAGATCTACTTCCTGTAATGGCTAAAATTCACAGGTTGAGTCATTATTATGGATCTGAAAGGATTATAGCAAGAATATCCCAAGAAATATTTTTTAAACTTTATAACCTCTGAAGAAGAGAACATAACAAGACAAACAAAACAGACAATTTGCTATAATCATGAATATTTTTTTCTTTTTTACCAGCTGCTCTGTTTGCTGAATGTCTTTTGCTGTATTTTTCACTGAGGAGTTTGACAAATCACACATGGAACAAAGGAGATCCAAGTAAGTCCTTGCTTGCTCTTGCAAAGCTCTGAAATGTTTGACCTAGAAAAAAAAAAGCAACTTGTCAGAGTGAAGTAGGAGTGTTCAGCTATGTGGTTGGTAGCATTTTATTGATATTTCAGAAATCATCTTGTTATGCCAGTGTTTTCACCACTGTCCTGAAATATATTTGTGACTCATGGGGGAGAACTCCAAACACACTGGCGGATCCGTTTGTCCACCGTCTGCTTCATGTTATAATTAAAGCTGTCTGCGTGGTCTGGGAAGGGGGAAACCCCAGGTTTGTCTCCAGTCCTTCCAGATTTCCACTAAATGACTGGGGAGGGGAGCATAATACGATGTCCCCCAATCCAGACCACTGCTCCAGTCTCATCAAATTTTAAGAAGTGAACTCCTTGCTACTTCAAATATTGCCTGGTAAAACAAATTATGATAGCAGCTTATCCTGGGCTGTGGCATAATTTCCTGTTTATTTCAGGAAAAGAGATCACAGCATACTCTGCTTATGTGCATGCTTGGGCACAGGGTGGAGACAAGACCACAGTCAGAGTGAGGTGGGAAGCTGGGGTTCCTTTCTCTGCAAAAAGCTCATCACCCCTCTTCCCTTTATAAAATCCCAAGAGGGATTTATGCAAGTAGACTTTCTTTTTCTTTCTTCATAGAAACACCAAAGTGTGGTCTCTTTACATATGTTTAGCATTGAGTATACCCTTCAGTTAATGGGTATAAAGTGGTCTGTGCAACACAACTTTGGCTCTCTTGGCACTCCTCTAAGGTCAGACAAGGCAATGTGTCAGCAGGTGGACGTGTGGCGTACTTGTGCTAAGCACCGTGTGCAGAAGGAAAGGTGGTTCTCTTCTGCTTAACTGCACGGAGGATGTTCTGCTACTCCAAAGCAGCATGTGCCAAGATGGCTTGGACGGTTAGCTCTAAACGTATTCAGGAAGTGAGCCGTCAAATGGGATAAGGACAATCTAAGAAGGACAGTGGGTGCAAATGCCAGAGCAGAGCAGAGGTCAAGGGAGCAGACAGTCACGGAGGCTCTCAGAGGAGATTAATCACCTCTATAATGAAGAGCTGGAAGACAGGGAATGGCTCGAGAGAGCTCAGAGTCTAAAATGTGGTATGTGCCCACACTGGAGTTTTATTTTGCTCTAAGGGAAAATGAAAGCATGTTCTGTGAGGGAAAGTATATGGAATTGGAAACTACCATGTTAAATAAAATAAGCCAAACATCCCACTGTTCCGTTTCTGCCTCTACTCAACAGTCTCCCATCTCAGAACCACTGACAGCTGAGAAAAACATCTGTTTGAGGGTAGGACTGTCCTGTATACTAAGGGATGCCCAGTAGCATCCTTGGACTGTATCTACTCCGAATCAACAGCATCCCAATGCTGTTAACTGTGGCAACTTACCAATGTGCATAAGCACCACTAAATGACTAGAGAGGAGAGCATAATACGATGTCCCCCAATCCAGACCACTGCTCCAGTCTCATCAAATTTTAAGAAGTGAACTCCTTGCTACTTCAAATATCGCCTGGTAAAACAAATTATGATAGCAGCTTATCCTGGGCTGTGGCATAAAATGTGGAATTTATTCTAAAAGATGACAGAATAGTATTGAAAGAACATGACCAGGCCTTGGTCTTAACATGGAATGAACAGTCTTCAGGGGACACATACAGCAATACGGAACACTGAGGACTGGTCAGCTTCTCATGTGGATATAATAAATGCAGATCTATTTCCCAGCAACTGGGAATTAGTGGCTTGGGCATTCAACATGCAAAGTGGCTAATTGTTTCACTTCCAGTTTTTCTTACTAACCAGTAAGCAGTTTAAAAGCACTATTTCATGTCCCATGACCCAGGGGAGTTCATCTGGCACAAAGAGATGAATTTTTCAAAATTGCAAGAGAATAAGCTATCAAGAATTGAGTTTTAATCCCAGCACTTAGGAGACAGAAGCAGGTGGATATCTGTGAGTTCAAGGCTAGCCTCATCTACAGAGCAACTTCCAGGATAGCTAAGGCTACACAGAGAAACCCTGTATTGAAAAACCCAAATTAATTAAATTTAAAAAGAAAAAAATATGGGTGGGCATGGTGGCGAACTCCTGTAATCCCAGGATTCAGGGAGGCAGAGGCAGGTGGATCTCTGTGAGTTTGAGGGCAGCCTGGTCTACAAAGCTAGTCCAGGACAGCCAAGGCTATACAGAGAAACCCTGTCTTGAAAATCAAGCATACATAAATAACAAACAAATAAACAGAAAAACAAACAAACAAATAAAAAATACATGTAATTTAAAAATTAATGATTTATTTTGTGACTGATAAAGTTACCTTAATTCTAACTGATAGAGTTTTAAATGTTTACTGCTAAAATTCTTCAAAGGGAAATCTGACATACTTTTTCACATTTCCCCCATCCTATTCCAATGCCCAGTTTCCTATGCCTTATAAAAACATGTGATTCTGAACAGAATCAAAGCATTGCATTAGTTTATTGTGGTCTCCTGGAGTATTCCTGGTACCTCTTGTGCTTGCTACAAGAGAGATACTGGAGAGTTGAAGTAAAACTTGGGGCCATAGTGCAGATGCTGGTCAAAGCTTGACTTTGAATCTGCCTCATGTGGAGTTCTCAATAGTGGGGTGCTCTGGCCATACATCTGTACTAGTCAACTGTGAGGGCCCTGTATAGTCTGGCATGAAGACAGATCTACCAAGGAAAACATTAACTAGTTGGAACAAAACAAAGAAAGAAAATTTGAAATTCCTTCACCGTTAGTGTTCCAGATCCAGATGGCCCACAGCTCTAACTCCCTTCTGTGACTACTTTCAAGTAGGAGGCAGGCATGTGTGGGGTTGTAAGGGGTGTGGGGGAGTGGGGCTCGGAACTACACACTCAGGAACTTGAGCAAGGTCAGTGACTTGTCCCGGTTGGTGTAGTGAATCCTGCCCTGTTCTGGCCATTGTGAAAAAACTGTTTAGTGTTGGTATAATGTTCTTTTGGAATGTACACATCTTACCCTTGTTCATTCAAATGTTGATTTCTCTCCCCTACTCTCTGGTTTCAATCTGGACACTGCACTGTGATACTTATTCTAAGCATCACCTGTGTCAACTTTGTGTAAACATGCCAAAATAAAGCAACTAGCCACAATGTTGAGCAATAGAAAGGAAGCAGAAAGAGAGGGAGGAGCCAGAGAATTGGGAGGTAGGCGGCAGAGGAGGAGGGAAGAGGGGCAGAGGAGAGGCTGGGAGAACAGAGGCAGGAGCAGAGGTCTTGGAACAATGTGGAAAGATGGACTGGACGTAATATATCACTAAAAGCAAGTATAATGTGGGAAATCTAAAAGTTAGGAAACTATGAGGACTTGGAGGTTTAGGATGGAGCAACTATTGCCCAGCATTGTGTTCTAGGTTAATTAAATAAATCCCAGTGTCTGTGTGGTGATTTGGTTATACAGCTGTTTAGGATTAACAGCAGCTTTACCAGAAGATGTATCAATAGTAAATATTAATAGTCACCTACAACAGTTTAGCACCCCTTCCTTTTGGGGGGCAACAAAGGAGAGAGATTAAGTTTTGCTTTGGAATGTTTTAAGGAGCATACAATAGTTAATAAATGCTCCCACGGAAAAGGGGTGACTTGAGGAAGCTCATAGAGGCCAGAAAATGTGGTCAAAGACGCGATGGAGACTGATGTTTTGCCACAAGCCAGAAGGATAGAACTGCAGATCACGGTGTTAAAAAGAAGTCAGGCTACAGGGGGCAAGCATCACAGTTTTTCTCATATGTGGACTTTAGAGAATGAATGAAAGGACTTGGGAGTAAATGGGGCTCTCAGGGACATGGATGGAGGCAGGGAGGGGTAAGAGAGGGCAGAATAGGCATGGTCAGAAGATGTGTGAGAATGCCACAGGGAAACTCACTGTTTCATACAATTTAATACACAGTGCAAATTGTAAAAATGAAAGGTCAGAATCTAAGTAGCCTTTAATTCTTTTCTCTTGGCTTAAAAAAAAAAGCTTTTTTTTTTTCTGATAAAGTGCTTTCCAAAGTATAATGTATGTGCTAATGTGAATTTTTTATGACTTAAATAATGCAAATCACTTAAGCCAGTACATACTGAAAATGGAGTAAATGAGCATGTTTCCTGTGAGGATTAAATGAACAAAGGTGTTATAATGATCTCTGTCGTAAGAAAATTGCAATTTTTCCTTGATATCATTAGTTCATCTGGCAGTAATAAGATTCAGTGTAAATTCAAGTAAATAACATTCAAATAAATTCGTCTATAATATTTTCCCACAAGATTCTCACCGCACATTAACCTGCTAAGCACAAAGTTTTAAAAATATTTCTTTATATCCTGATAAACTTTCTGAAGCATGATTATAAACCTACAGATACCATATTGCTATGCAATAGGTTCCTTTCATGAGACAACAATGAACATTCCCTTCCTCATCCACTCAGCAATCTCATCTTAAGCACCTCATTTGTAGAAGAAAAGCCACAGTGGGGGATGTCAGTATTGCTTTTCTGTTTACAACTCACAGTCCTATGTGACATGACATTTGGATTTCAGCATAGGTCAGAAGTTCTGGCCCTCCAGCCAGAGATTCCGTACCTACTGAAAGCACTGAAGAAAACCAAAACTGTGTCTATCATTAATATGTACAGACTTATTTCCTCATCACAGTTGCCTAAAACAATTTCATATAGCAGCTACTTTTGCAGGAGTATTTTTCATTAAGTATTCAAAATAATCTGTAGAGGGTGTGGAGAACCTGGGTAGACACAGGGAGGTTTGTTGTGAATATCACACACACCATTTCCAACAAGGGATTGAACGCCTGCATTCTGAAGTATCCATGATGTCATCAAAACCAACTCCTCTGCATGATGGGTCACAGCTGTCCCTACAAGCTTGTAGAAACTCAGTGATGGCGCCAATAAGACAGCCACTGATAAGCTTTTAGAGTTGATCTTTGGTCCACAGAGCTCTCCAGCTCTGTGGTTAGAACAGACTATTGCCAAGATCAGACCTCATTTACACTTTGCTATTCCCAGAAGCCAGCACAGTTTTGAATGAATGAGTAAGTGACTCATACAAATAAGACACTCTTGGATGCCATTACCTGCTTAACGGCTTCCGCCCTGCTGAGAGGTGGCTGTGGGCTGGGCTTCAGGTCTGGCTGGACGGCAGCAATCCAGGCCTGGCACTGCTGCAGGGTGTCTTGCCTGCTGACGTGCTTCTGAAGTTCATACTCCAAACTTCGGTATACCTGAGACAGAACAGGGTCGAGGTGTAGGAGTTAACTCTACAAACGTAACAGCAGCGTGTCGAGCCAGTCCACCTAAATCCCCAGGGCTCCATGGCATCGTGCGCATATCTAACGTGACTACACATGTTCCAACATGGCCACAGCCCATGTTATAATTCTTCCATATCTGCACATACAGCCATGTTATATATAGCAGGCCCCGTATTCATATGAAGGGCAAAATGTGTCACAGTCCATGAAGTCACTGAAATCAATTCTCAAGAACATAAGCCAGAGGTTCCAGAAGCTCTTCCTCTGTATTATAAATATCGGAGTTTTTGTTTAAACTAGGAGCTAAAAACAAAACAAAACAAAACAAAGGAATTATCATCTTTAAAAGACAACCAAGCTTCTCTAATTCTGACGCTTTTCTAGAAAGAACTGGTATATGGAGAAGTGGAGGAGTCTGAGACATGCATTCCACCTTGGAAGCTATATTCAAGAACTGCAGTGCAGGAACTGGAGAGGTGTCTCTGTTTTTGAGACATTTGCTCTTGCGGAGGCCCCAGATTTGGTCTCCAGGACCATGCAGCTGCCCACAGCCATCTGTAATGCCAGTCCCAGGGGACTGACAGCCTCTTCTCTGAGGGAATCGTGCACAAACCTGGCACAACACATAAGTGTGGTGGTTTGAATAGGTTTGACCCCATAGACTCATGTGTGTGAATGCTTGGCCCATGGGGTGTGGTACTGTTAGGCCTTGTTGGAGTGGGTGTGTCACTGTACGGGTGGGCTTTGAGGTCTCCTGTGCTCAAACTCTGCCTAGAGTGGATTACATCCAGTCTCTCGGCTCCTCCAGCACCATGTCTGCCGGCGCACTGTCCTGCTTTCCGCCATGATGATAATGGACTACACCTCTGAAAATGTAAGCCAGCCCTAACTCGTTTCTAAACATGGTGTCTCTTCACAGCAATGGAAACTCTAACTAAGACAAACATTCGTGCACAACACTCATTCATGTGAAATAAATACATCTAAACGAGTTTAAGAAGAACCATAATTGGGACTAATTTATTTTTCTTATATGACCATTCAATTAATTCATTTTCAACCATTTGACCAATTTGGCTATCTTGGTCTATAAAATGACCTCAATGCTGTACAATGTAACAAAGTAAATAATCCTCATTTCAAAAAGTGAAATTTTCAAGTGTAAGGAATCAACTATCATCTGCAATTTATGTTTTTTTTCTCTCCGATCACTCTCTTCTTTCCAGGGTATCTCAACAGTTCCTCTTGGCTAGCCTAATAATGAGAACACAGTGGAATCCTTTAAAAACGGGCAGAAACATCGGACATTAAAGATTCTACAACAACCAGGCATGGTGGCTCACCCTTCTAACTCCAGCATTCTGGAAGCAGAAGCAGGAGGAGCTCTGTGAGTTGGAGGCTAGCCTGGTCTCCATAGTAATTTCTATGACAGTCAGCATTACACAGCAAGATCCTGTCTCAAACAATAACCAATCAGAACAAAAACCGCACCCCCCCCATGAAACAAGCAAAAACAAAGCCCTACAAATAGAAATCAACTTACTTACAACACTAGTTTTTATTAAAGTAGCAATTCTTATTTATTTCTATGACATCAAGAATGTAGTTTATGTGGAAATTCACCCATTAAAGTATAATTCAAAACTGACATGGAATTAATCCACTTTTTAAATTTTATAAAAATGCCCAAAAATATTGAGTTAGATTAAAAAACAGCCTTCACAGTGTTAAAAAAAAAAAAAAGTAATGATGAGAAGACTTAAAATACATGTATTTTACTGCTACAGAATAAGTGGCAAGCTATAGGGGAGTCTTGATGGTCTATAAATAAAAAAAAAAAAACTGTCAACATAACTCCCCTCCCCTTCTTTTCTGCTTTGAGATAGCATGAGGGGACATTAAGCCCATCTGGACAGGCTCCCTTTGCAGCTCTGAACTCAAGGCAACCATCCTGCCCATGCCTTGCAAGTATAGACTATAGGCCTGAGCCATCATGCCTGATTTAGTAATCAACTTCGAAACTTTCGGTTTGCTTTGTGTTTTGAAACAGACAGTCATGTCACCTGGGCTAACCTGGAACTCAAAGTCCAGCATAGTGTGAATGACTCTCTGACCTTCAGACCATGTGGACTCCATACTCATCCTCTTGGCTTATCCGTGCTGAGAATCAGTCCTGGGGCTTTGTACACGTTACACAGGCACTCTACCAAGTACGACACTTGGAGCCCAATATATTTTCTTAATAAGTTCTTTGTTAGAAGAGTTGGATGGAGCTAGATGTCTGGATTTCTAAGCTTCCTCATATGGAGCAGATGCCTGGTATGTTTGTTTTGTGCTCACAGAAAAGCTGTGAATTCTGTCTTCTTACTTTCTGTCTGAAAAAAACCACTGCAGCTATTTTAGTGATTTAGGCATCTGTTGTATTTATGAGACGCTAGCCTTCCTCCTCAGCCGTCATGGCCCGGAAGCCGCTGGTGCACTCACCCTCTGGGCCGTGCTGCAGAGCGCTGAGTAACTGTCCTTCGTGCCTTGTAGGTGGGCTTGCACGCTCTGCTTCTGCTTCGCTTGTAGGTGGTCCGGGCACTGGCCAATCAAAGTGTCGCCCTTGGTTTTAAGGTTGTCCAGGCGGTCTTCAAAACCTGCTATTTCCTCCATCATTGCCTGAAACAAAAATGAAGAACACAGAGAGCTCCTGGGATTCCACTCTCAGCTTGAAACAACCTCTTCATTAAGCATCAACACTAATTTTATTGTGTAACAAACTGTTTAAAAGAGTTTTTCAGTACTACAGGCCACACAATGCTAATGACAGGTGACACATTCCAACAGAAGGGTGTCTGGGGAGACACATCTCTACATAAAGGAATCATGGGTGGGAGCTCAGCATTGCTGAGTTCTTTCATCTAGTAGGGTTGGGTAGGAGGACATTAAACCCAACTGGAAATCACTTTTGTCTTCAGCTTGAAAGAGAAATAGCATATCCTGTTGGGGGATGGGGATGAAGCAGGAGGGGGAGGGAGAGGCCACATTCTGAGATTACTACAGCAATGGATTGGGTTAGTGTATGTATGTACTGGCTGATTTTAGTGTTTTGTCAACATGATGCAAGCTAGGGTCACCTAAGAAGAAGGAACACCAACTGAGAAAATGGCTCTAGACATTGGTCTCTGGGCAGGTTGTAAAGCATTTTCTCAGTTAATGATTGATGTGCGAGGGCTCGGTACACTGTGGGTGGGGCCACCCTTGGGCAAGTGGTCTTCAGTTGTGTAAGAAAGCAGCTGAGCAAGCCATAGAGAGTGAGCTGGTAATGCAGCACCCCTCCATGGTCTCTGCTTCTGTTCCCGCATCAAACTCCTGTCCTGACTCCCACCCTACATAATGGGTTGTAAGCTGTAAAGGGATATAAATCTTTTCCTCCCCAAGTTGCTTTTGGTCATGGTGTTCATCAGAGCAATAGGATATGAAATAGGACAGTACATTTTTGGAGACTAACAGAAACATATCAACACAATAGTCACTCAGCTCCTATCCATGTGCTGAGCACATTTGAGCCCACTTAGCTTCCAGAATCAGAAGAGACAGGGTACGTTCAGGGAGTCTGGTTAAAGGTGAGTAGTTTCTATTCCTGTTTGTGAGGTGAAAATTCTCCTCTGACAAAGCTGATTATGGCTTTCATGGCACACCCCAAGGTATCAATCAGACGACTGATAAACTATTTCTCACTAAGATCATGGCCATTGGAGTCATTCCATAAAACGGTCCACATGCCACCTGTCACCAGTACATGCACTTACTAAGAACGCAGACCTATACAGATGAGAAGGTCTGTTCTCAGGGTTGATCTTTGTAGTTCTCAAAACCACACTCCCTGTAATTTCCAGCACAGCTATGAGGTGATATGAGAGTAGGACAAACTGTGCCAGAGAGGCTCAGGCCCCTGCTACCCAGGGGTGTGGCTGGCCTACGATGCAGGCTGAATCCTTGTGTTTCTAAAGCCTAAGCCATCTCTTCCTTTGCTAATGATCCATGAAGACTAAATTCTGAGGCAGAGAGCTTTGAACTCAACAGAATGCCACAATGTGTTCAGAAGCTGAGTGCTGAGATTAGAATATTCCTTATTCTCCCAAGTATCAAATTCAATGGCTCTTGTAGTGGTTTGAATAGGAATGGCCTCTATAAAGTATTGTGTGTGAATGCTTGGGCCATAGGGAGGAGGTGTGGCCTTGGATGAAGTGTGTCACTGTGAGGGCGGGCTCTGAGGTCTTATATGTTCAAGCTTGGCCAGTGTGTCTCACTGTCATTCTGCTGCCTGTGGATGAAGATGTAGAACTCTCAGCTCCTTTTCCAGCACCACATCTGCGTGCACGCTGCCATGATTCCCCCCAGGACAATTGTGGACTAAACCTCTGAAACTGAAAGCCATTTCCAATGAAGTGTTTTCCTTTAAAAGAGTTGCGGGATCATGGTGTCTCTTCGTAGCAATAGAAACCCTAACTAAGAGAGCTCTCAATTGTCAGCTGTACTTGAGGCTCACACCAGGTTCTTGAAGCAGTCTTAATTCAGAGCTGTACTTGAACACACACACACACACACACACACACACACACACACACACACACACGTGTGTGCCTACAAGTACAAATATGCATACATGCACATACATGCACATACATGCACACCGTCGGGGGAGTCAAAGCCGCCCTGTAGTGAGATTAGCTGTACCTTGTGATGGGCAAGCTGCTGGGTGATGGTCTCCAGGCTGCTTGTCTCCAAAAGGTCGGGGGCCACCAGCCGGCCAGACATCTGCAGCAACCACTTTTCTACCTCTTGGAGTTCAGTGTTGTAGTCTTCGTGGTCTCTGACTTTGGCTTCCAGACTGAAGACACGTTCCTGCCAAAACAGGGATGTGTCAGAGCTGACTTTTGAGCCCCAAACCTATTCAAAATTGCAGTATACGTGAAAATAGCCACGGCAGCTCCTAAGCTAGGCAGAGTGACTTGTATCAGAAAACTACTGCTGGGCTGCAGTTCAGGGGAAAAGTGCATGGTTAACACATTCAAAACCATGGCTCCGTCCACAGCATTTAATAGAAAATTAATTAAACAAAAATCACTGGGACTGAACAAAAAATCAGGCATCATGCTACTCAATGTGCCCCTGACCCATGGTAGACCTCAAGTCTACAGCGCAGACGAAGGGGCAGGCTCAGTTCTGGGGAGTCAGCGCTCACGTGCGGCTCTCCTCACCTTTCCTAGGCTGCAGAGTTCCTGGAAGTCAGTCTCAAGTGTCTGTATCTTGTCCTTTAATGTCTGATCCTGTACCAGTTCCAGAAGAGCCTCGCCTTTCTCTCGCACCGAGTTCACAGACAGCTCCTGGGACAGCACCATTTGTTGTAGTGACTTGAATCACAGAGACAAAAAGGGGGAAACAACACATCATCCAGGTGAATGAGGAGAAAGCACACAGGTGCCTGTGCTGGGCATGGCAAATGGTTATTGACTCAGTACGTACCAACCATGAAAGAGAGGAAAGAGACGCTTTACCATAGCTAGTGCTATTTTATTTTATCATATATGTATATACACATATATATATATATTACTATACAGAGGAAAGAAGTACATGGAATGGCCTCTCGTAGCAGAGAAGAAAATAGAGAAAAAATTTTCAATTAGCTAAATCGAACACCACTCCTATTCCTGCCTCCTACGCGGTTACGTTCAGCAGAGACAAATGGGAACAACAAGCGGAGCGAAGGAGTGTCTCTCGGTTCAGAGGTCACAGAGCCCGCTGCAGCTCGAGTTAGACGGGGCATAAGGTAGAAAAGATATAGCACCATACTTGCTGAGACAGGCTGAAACACACTTAACCGCCCTGGATGTGAAGGGGGAAGGTGAGGAGGGAAATCGTTGTGAGTGCATAGACAAGCAGCCAGCCTGGCACAGCATAGTAGCTAGGAGGACCACAAGCTTTCTCAGAAGTGGTCTGGAGTGACCTGGCACACCGTCCTTCTTAAAGACCATTGCTAAACCTTCTGGGACACTTCAGACCCAGATGGCCTATGACTCTGTCAAGGTACTGGGCCATGAATTACATACATGTGTGTGTGTGTGTGTGTGTGTGTGTGTGTGTATGTCTATTTTAGTAACTATGCCAGATTTTCCAGGTGGGCAGAAATGTGTATGCCATTTATGACAATACATCACATAAGTGTAAGCCAGCTTTGGTGATTATTTTGAAAGTTCGAACAGGTAAAGTATATAAATATATAATTTTCTCTAATTTCTGTGTCTCTTCTATATCTCTAGAATGTGTTAGTGTTTTTTCAGGAACTAAATTCCATGCTCTTAACCTATAATTGCTCAATTAGAACTTATTGTCTTTAAATTGTACTGTCTCATTTTCAATTAGCTGTAAGTTGGATTCTAGGACTCGGAAACCAACCAACCAACCAACCAACCAACCAACCAACAAACAAACCAACAGAAATGGCTAGATGGAATAGACATGTTGTAAATGACAAAGGTCACATTTGAGAATCATGTAGTCTAGTTACAGGAAGAAGAAAACCTTGCAAAATGCCTCATAATATTTTTAAGCTTATGATTTTGCTGTGGGGCCCATCTATAGCTGTCTTCAGCCACATGAGGCACTCAGGTTGGGAGTTCAACATTCTTGAGAAGGTCCATAGATTTGCACCATAAGGGTGTCCCGTGATCGATTATATCAACTTTTGAATATTAGTCCCTAATAGTAAAAATAATGTCAAAGCGGTATATTTAGCCCAATATTGCTGCCCACATCAGCCCCAGAGATGATACAGAGGGGTATGCCTCAGCATGTTAGGAGTAATGTCTCTCTCCTTCAGACCCTGCCTGACTTCCACGTGTGTGTGTCAGTGGGGAGCAAGGCTCTACCTTGTATTTGGAGAGCTGTGCTTTCTTCTCATACAGTTCCATTTTGGGTTCTTCAGGCGCATGCAGGATTTCCTGGTATTCTGCCATCCATCGGGTCAGTGCTTTGCATTTGTCTGAGAACTCTTTGGCTAAGTGAAGGCCCTTCTCCAGGCTCACGTGCTCTCTCCTGACGGTGCCGGTCAAGCCCTTCAGCTGCTCCATGTGGCCTTGGATCTCCTTCCTTAGGGCCTCGGCCTCCCTCTCCTCTAGGAACTTCACAGCCCTCTCCCCTTTCTCTCGAGCTGATTTCAGCAAACTGTGGCCCTTCTCCATGTCTTTTAGTAAAACCTAAGAAAGAAAGAGGATAACTATTGCTGTGATGAAACCCCATGACCAAAAGTAATTTGAGGTGGAAAGGATTTATTTCACTCACAGTTTGGTACACCAGTTCCTCACTGAAAGCCATGAGGGGAGGAACCAGGATGGCAGCAACTGATGCTCAGCCTGCTTTCTTATAGAACTCAACACCGCCTGCCCAGGAATGGCACCACCCACAATGCACTGGGCTCTCCCCTGTAAATCACTAAGTAATCAAATGCCTTCTAGGCCTGCCTACACCCTGATCTTATGGCAAGGTTTTCTCCAAGGAGGGTCTCTCCACTCAGATCACTCCAGCTTGTGTCAAGTTGACATATGACCAGCCAGCACAGAGAGCAAGTGTTAAGCAAATACAGAGCAGAGCTGTTCTCTGTACAGAAACGTTTTCCGGTTCGGTCTGGGGGCACCCTGTCCTTCCTTGTGAAGTTTTTGAAGTTTATTTCCAGGTTGGTCTGATCTGAAGCTCCCTCCTTCAGTTCAACAGAGGATTTAAGTGCTGATCAATACATCCCTTCCAAAAGGAACCCTTTGTGTCTTTTCTCCACAGCAAACACCCCAAAGGTTTTGCTTACAGATCTGTTAAGGCACAGGGATGTGAACTTAAGATCAGCATTAAGGCCTAACTGCCAGGCTCGGTGTAATTAAGACCTGGAGGGCAGCTGCACTGGCCATGTCAGACGATGAGACATAGCTCATGAGTGGAATCAGCCAAAGGTCGTCAATCATTTGCAGCCGGCAAAGAACACACATGCTTCTGGGTCTCCACGGGAGCGGGGCTAGTTAGCAGGGCAGGGCCATGAGAGAAGCAAGGGAAAGGGAGAGGGCAGGAGATGAGCTGGAAGGATGCATGCCTACCTCCAATGTCTTCAACTTTTCCCCCATCATTGCTTCATCGACTTTATCGATTTTGGTAGCCACATTCTTGAAATTTTTCTGAGTGGAGCCATACCAGTCCGAATAGGAACTGAGGGATGACTCTGTCTCCTCCAGACACTGTATTTCCTCTTCTAAGAAGTTTATTTGCTCCTGTGAAAGCAAAGAGAAGATTGAAGCACGGGCGAAAGCCCTGGGTCCAGGCGTGGACCACTGGCATCTCCAGCGGAGGCTGGAAGGACCACGTGGGCTCCTGATGCCAGCTGTCCTTGTTAACGGTGCAGCAGCGCGGTGCCTCACCAGCACTTGGAGCAGCAGGGCCTGGTACTGGGCGGTCAGCTGGGTGGCCTGGCAGCCCATCCTGCTGCTCACACGGCTCTCTTCCAGGATCTCCTGGGCCCTAGTTCCCACCTCCTCAACCTCGTCTCTGTGTGCCGACAGGTCTTCGTGCCACTTCTGAAAGGGGGTAAGAACCAGAGAAAAACAAGCTGAATCCTGGACAGTCTTAAATAAGGCAAACACTTCTGAAGAGAACATGATTTCTGCCTGTGTTTGCAAATACATTTATCTGGAGATGCAATTTTGAAAGTGTATCAAATATAGTCTTTGTGAAAAGTTCTGTTCCGACAATGTGATAGCATTTGCATAGTTCTGATTCTGGGCACTTTTCTCTGTATTTTATACTTTGGTTCAAATGCCTTTGAAAAATTATCTCACAGCTTTCCATGCAGTCTAATCAATTTTAAAATGCTGAAATGAATAAACTAGTTGCCAAGGACTATGCATAATTTTGGATGTGCAAGGAACTAAAAATTAGAATAAAACTGGTTCTGATTTAAGAGTCTATGTTAGGACCCTTTCATATCACACCACAATTGTAAAAGATTGTCATTTACATATTTTTATAAAAGTTCAGCAGCAGAAATAAGAAGTAAATATTTTTAAAACAGATCAATAATGTGTGTGTGCTGGCACATGTGTGAATGTCAGAAGAAACCCATAAGGTGGTTCTGCCCTTCCAGCGTAGGCTGGGGACCAGACTGAGGCCCCAGGGATGCACAACAAGGTCACCTGGGGAGCCATCTCCTTGGACCAGCAGGAAACCATATGGGTTCAAGACGAACCTGAGAAGTCACTGTTGCCAAAATAGAGAACCATTTCATTTACATTAAATGCTCTAGATTAGCATATGAGAACTCAGAAGACATCCACTTGAGCCAGACAGCTCCTACATTTTTTCATGAAACGAACTAAGAGCTAGGCAAGGCAACTTGCTTTGACAAGGCTCGGGGATTCCCCAGAGTTGCACCTTCATCTGAAGCAACTGAGACTCCTTGGTGGACCTGCTGCTCTGGCGTTCGCTCCTGAAACTTATTTTCTCCTCCATTCTTTTGAGCCATTCATCCACCTGCTGGAACTTCTGCTCCATCAGCCTCAGTTTGCTCACGGTGCTGTTGAACTGCGTCCGGGTCTCAGCCAGTCTGTGCTGGTAAACCTGCCAGTCCTGACGAAGAGACTCCAGCACCCTGTCTTCCACCTGGGGGAGGCCTGATGGGATCACGTCCTCCCTGGTGTGAAGTACCGAGTTCAGCAGGGCCTGACCCTCAGCACAGCGCACTTGAAGCTCCTGTGGGAAGAAGGGAATGGTGGTCTTGTCTCCCTCATGTGTCACACCAGTCAGCGCGTCTCAGTTAAACCAGCTGGGCCAGACTACAGTTCACACTAGACAAATGTCATTCTATTTTGCCCTGTTAAAAACATGCATACATAACACTGAACATTGCCTTCCCAAGTATGGAGAGAGATCCTGAAAATCTCCCAATTCAAAGAACAATTCCCCACTTAAGTTTCTGAAATTTTTTTTTTTTTCAGCTGTGCTGTGATTAAAGGTTTGTACCACCATGCCTGGCCTATTTTCATATATATAAATATATTTTTATAAATATATATTTATTTATTTTCAGTTTATGTACATTGGTGTTTTGTCCATATGCATGCTTGTGTAAGAGTGTCAGATCCCCTGAAAGTGGAACACAGACAGTTGGTAGCTGCCTTGTGGGGGCTGGGAATTGACTGGGGGTCCTCTCGAAGAGCAGTTGGTGCCCTTAACCACTGGGCCATCTCTCCAGCCCAGTCCTCTTAATTTATCTCCTCTCCCATGTTGTATAGAAATAGTTTTATCTATTATATAAACCATCACTCTACCAAATAAACTGTCACCTTTCCCAATATATCAAGTATTAACGCCACAGAGAAAGCATCATTTGATATTTAAGTGTGGATATATGTTCCATGACTCAAATTAGGCCCTCAGTTTATATAACCCGATTGGTCCCTAGGGGGTATAAAACTGTGACGTGTCTGGTTTATATAATAACTTCTAGTACTTATTTGCTTTATGAATTGATCAGTGTTCCTGGTTTTCTCCCTTTTTATCGAATCACACAGTAACTGCGTGGCATCAGAGCGGCTGTCTGGCATCTGATGTTGACTAGTAGCAGATTCCACACACCGCTGGGCATGCTGGGAGGACAGAGGAATCCTAGAGGAGCCCTGTGGCATAGCGGGAGTTACTGTGCTTCCATGCTAATTCCTGCGGTGTCCAGCCTCCTTTCTCTTCAGCATTTGTGGAGACTCAAATCCGACAATGCAGAAGAAACGCACGGGTGGCCAGGGCCTGGAGGTAGGCTTGATCTGCACTAGTCTGACTGAACTGAGATACACTCTTCTGACCAAAACAAGAGAAACATTGAGGCAGGAACTTGCTGGCTCAGCTCCTATGAGGCAGTTTAAAGAGCTCAGCGTTTGCTTTTGAGGGTGTCGGGGAGCACTGGGAAGAGAGCTTTAAAGAAATAGTCAACTGCTCTCAAGGAAATGGTAACAGGTATTGGGTGTTGGGAAGCCTGCCTGTAGTCCCTGTATTCCAGAGACTGTGGTAGGAATATTCTGAGTTCAAGGCTAGACTGGGCTGCACACCAAAACTCTGTCTTAAACAATGATAAGGTGTGTGTGTACACGTGTGTACACACAGAGTAACAGTCAAGCTGTACAGTCTCAGAGATCAGAACCTTACTATCAAGCAGGACAGAGGAGATTCTCGAGATAGTGAAATGTTAACTTGTGTAACCTCTAGTATTTATTTATCCTGTGACTAGGTCAGATATTTAAGTAAGACAGAGTTTCTTCTCTTCCAGTACCGCAACTGTGTGGGAAAACTGGTTAAGAGAAAGTCTTTAGTGTCTGAAGTCACCCAGCAGCAGGTCCCATGTAGAATTAGAGTCTGAGATTCCTAATCCCAACCTGTTCAGCTGTCGTTATTACAACACTTCTTGAAACTCTATCTGTACATGCAGTAGAGCAGAAGGTCAGGAGCTACGCAGACCAGGAATAGCCACGATTTGCTCCTCCTGCCTCATCCTAGCTGTAGGGACGAGAGCCTTAAACCAATTCTATTTGGGGTCAACAATATGTTAAGACATTCTAGGACACCCCCTAGCGGGACACAGGTGGTCTTATCAGCCGTTCACAAGTCATTGCTGTGTGCCTTTTCCTGGAGACTTCCCAGATCCCTGTCTAACACTGTGGGCATGAATGACTAAGGGATCGATGCTGCCTTAAGATCCCTTGCGTTAGTCTATAACTGTCCCGACCTCACTGTTTACAATAATCTACCCATGGGTTTCGTTTTCCTCACTAACCTGTAAATTTCTTAACAGCTGAAGTTAATGTCCACACCATCTTTGCTTGTAAAGTATCGGCTCTGCCTTAGGTGCTGAGTCGCTAACTGGGTAGATGAATAAGGACATGGACTATGAGCATCGTGCTCGCTCTATCCGATGCTGTACGATAGCCCACTGCCCAGAGCATCTACACTTCTCCTAGATACTCTGGCTTCTTCTTTTAGAATTTGGAGCCAAGCCCCACACCCTCAGGAGTGCAAGAGGTTTTGATTGAAGCCAGGTGGCCGCGATCACGCCGTCATTGTCCCTGGCACACTTCGTTGGCTTCTGCCCTTTTAGCCTACATCTGAAACTGGCCTTTGGAGAGCAGCAGGCAGGTGTGGCAGTCAGCGCTATGTACCAGATCAGTAGCTGCTCCCGTGAGGAGCCACCCTGGTAGCTGAATGAGACCAAGAGCAGGTTCTGTTGGTTTAAATTGCCTAACAAGTGAAGGGAATGTGAATGTTCCGGATCAAGCCTTACCTTACCTGAGTGTCTATCAGCTCTCTGTAGGAGGTCACGCTCACTTCTTCTTCATAGAAAAGAACCCTTTGATTTCTGATAGAATTACCTGAAGGTCTCGCAACGCTGTCTCGTGGGTGTGCGAGCCACCCTCAAGAGCTGCGCACCGGTCAAGTTTCTCTTGTTCCTGCCCCAGCCAATTTTCAAATGCCTTTAGGTCTCTTTGGTACTCTTGGTGAAGGCGAACCAGCTTTTCTAATTTTGTTACCACTTCCTGTAATCAGAATTTAAAATGATACAGAAACATATCACTGAATGCAGAATTCACTTTTGGAGTTAAATTTTCTTTTATGTTCCTGTATGTGTGTGTGTGTGTGCCTCTGTGTGTGTGTGTGTGTACACATGCCACTGAATGGCTGTGGAAGTTGGAGAGCAACTTTTTTGAGTCAGTTCTCCTTCCAACATAGTGGTCTGGATCAAACTCAGGTTGTCAGGCTCAATGACAAGCAATAGCAATGCCTTTGCTTGCTGAAACATCTTGTTGGCTACATGTCTGAAACTTTAGAAAAGCATAATAATTAAATCATTAGAACATAAATAATTTTTTTTTAAAAAAAGAAACTAAGTTTTTTTGTTGTTGTTGTTGTTTTGTTTTTTGTACAAAGAGGACACAAATGTGGCCTAGAGTGAGAAGGGTGGATTGGGGTAACTATGTTCAAAACATATGATGTGAAATTCTCAAAGAACTAATAAAATGAACAAGAAAAAGAAAGGAACCATATTTCTCTCTCTAAAGAAAAAAACTAACAAAATAGACAAACAAATATTTGTCTGGAAAGATCTCAAAGATCGTTTTGAATTAACTACCTGACCTGCCAGTTTTTAATGAAGTGTTAGATGGACATACCAAAAATGAAGTAACCTAATTTTTCTTAAAAATTCACTATGGTTAGGGCTGGAGAGATAGCTCAGTGGCAAAGAGCACTTCCTACTCTTCCGGAGGTCCTGAGTTCGATTCCCAGCAACCACACAGTGGCTCACAACCAGCTCTAATGTGATCCAATACCCTGTTCTGGTGCAGGCGTACATGCAGATAGAGCGCTCATCCACATAAAATAAGTAAGATGAAAGGCATGGTTAGCAGCGGAACCTGAAGGGTGCACATTGTGTCTTAGGTGAGAATTTGGAGTTGGCAGGTTTATTTTACCGGACTTTGTCAGGGAAGTAGAAAGTCCTCCTGAAAGGTGCTGTTATTTTCTTGGGAAGCCCAGGCGACGAACGGTAAATGCTACCAGGTGATTGCTTTCTGCCTTATAAAACCCCTACAGCCAGACATCACACCGAGTTTTCAATGCAAAGTGCTCTAAAGTTTTTGTGAAAAAGTAACATTTATAGTTGAATTTTTGTTGATAATTATTTTGCCACTTTAACTTTGAGGTACTAACAATATTTGAAGTCTTGTTTAATTTTGCTAGTGATATTTTAAAATACTAAAATTCATTTAGCTTGCTTCATACTGATTTCACAGGTTTGTCAGGCTTGAAAATCGTTCAGTGTTTGAGTGATTGGTCCCAGTTCTCCACTCTCCCACCTGGGTGAGTCCACAGGATCCTGGCTAGCCATACCTTGGCCCTCTCTTTGATGGCTTGGTGTCGCTCCTGCAGATCCTGCAGTTCTAACTGGGTGACATAATGCTCTGTCATGCCTGCCCGCTTGACTTCAATGGTCTCCAGCAGGCTGCTATGACTTAGCACTTCTTCATTTAACAGCTAGAGAACAAAAGAATAAAACAATAAAATGAGTTACTCACACACAAGCATAACACTGGTCTTGCAAAGATGAAGGGGTTTTAACTGTATGGGTGACAAATGACCTTTCTCTATCCATCCGTTCACCTGAATTATACAGACATGTAAAATCTGTCTATCTATCTATCTATCTATCTATCTATCTATCTATCTATCTATCT